GAAGTACCACAACCCGTACACTCGCAAGTTCAAGTGCCCACATGGATCTTGCACGTAAGAAATTTGCTCTTGCTGCACACCGCGAGGTACATGCTGACGAGAAACAGGAAGAACTTCGGTTCCGCAGCCACGTTGATCAGCCATCTCAAGGCCGGTTCGCACAACATTACGAAGCTCCAGTGCCCCGGTTGCCTGCGGTGGTTCAAAGATGCGTCTTCCTTGACTGCTCACTCCGAGTCGGAGACGAACCGCTGCCAAATTCGGTACTCGGAGAACTACCGGGTCTACCTTGACCAGCTCACTGGAGGCATGGCCGATGTCGTCGGCAAGAACGAGGACAATACCATCCGGTACGAAGTCAGTACCGAGGCCATCATCAAATTCGGTCCTCAGCAGGCTAAGAAAGCTACGGAGGATCTCATGGCGAAGCAGGAAGCAGAGCGTCAAGAGCTTCGGGTGCGAAACCCAGTCTGGTGATTGGAGGGATGCCATGTTACGGAGAACTGGGTGAGGACTTCACTAGAAAATTGCGCCCTATGGCTTACGAGAGTTGCTTTGGAATGGAGATGCAGAGACTTCGTTTATTTTCTTAGCATAGCTGTTGACATCGAGAACGGTCAATAAGCTCACAGATTCTGAAAAAGAGAGCCCTGAAAGTTCTGCATTGAATTGGTGCAAGTGATTGTGGTGCATTTTAAGCAATCAACATGGCCTGGAATACTGAAAGGGGGGCTGCAGGGCCGTGCAAAAAAGACTGGTGCACTGTACCTGCCCCGCACTTTGCACTTTACGCGCTATCCTTACCAGCGACGCGCTCAACGCGTCGCCCAAGATTGACCATCTTTCCTCCAGAAGCCCGCCAATTGACAAGCAACCACCAGGAACAGCAGTAATTGATCACAACCAACGCCATGGCCGAAGCCGAGCTCAAGCAGCTCTTTAACACGGGGGACAAGGGCCTCGAGCCCGATGTCCTGTCCGAACTGCAGTCCATCATGCGCTTGCACGAGCTTTCCGCCGAGGACCTTTTCTACAAATGGGAGTCGTACTGCATTAAGATGGACATAGATGCCATGAACCCCCAGATCAGCCCTATGCGCAACTTCAAGAAAGATCTCCAGGATGCATTGGAGAGGGCCAACAAGCAACAGACACACGTCAAGACCGAGAAGCGCGGACACGGTACCCCAAGGGCGAGAGGCGGGGATGTGTTCGGCATGCTGGATGGCTTGGTGCCCAGCACTCCGTCGTCTGGGAGGTTGAACAAACCGAGCAGTTTGCGGAAGAAGGAGACACCAACCATGTCAAGGATCAAGGCAGAGATTCCGTCTAGTTCTCCGGACTACAAGGGGTCGTCGAAGATGGAGGACCAACTCAGTTCCATGCAGTCGTAAGTGGGAGCTTCAGGAGGGTCGCAATGAGTAAGAACTAACAAGTTCCTGCAGCCCGAGTTCCTTCAACGACAGACAGAATGCCGGCGATACGATTGAAGTGCTAAACGACCACCTCAACGCCCCCGAAGTCCCAATCTGCCCTTATTCCGAACCCCGCATCAAGTTGACGGCCGCATCAGACCAAAAGAAGCTTGCGTACAAGCCCCTTGCTATGAAGCTGTCTGAAGCGTCAGAGATTCTCGACGACAGGATAGACGAGTTCATGGGCGTCGTCCAAGAGTACCACAAGCTTGATCTTTCGGAGTTTGGTAATGCGGCATCCCAGAGCACTACGGCTGTAATTGCTGTCGGTCGCATTGCGTCTGATGCGCCGGAGGGAAAGCTGAACACAGCGTCGCTGGTACTGGAGCTGTCGAGGCGGATGGGTGGCGGTCAACGAGTCTCATTGAACATGCGCAGTGTCAAGAATGGCTTCAGCTTTTTCCCTGGTCAGATCGTGGCATTGAAGGGTATCAACACCTCCGGCAACGAATTTCTAGTCGAGGAAGTTCTTGAAGTGCCCCTCCTTCCCAATGCCGCCTCGACGCCAGCTACATTGGCGGCACACCGCGAAAAGCTGCGAGGAGACCCAGATGCCATGGACACCGACTCGGACCCTGCACCGCTGAACGTCATCTACGCGTCCGGGCCCTACACCGCAGACGATAACCTCGATTTCGAGCCTCTGCATGCCCTCTGCGACCAGGCTGCCGATACTTATGCTGATGCTCTGGTTCTCACTGGACCGTTCATTGACAGTGAACATCCTCTGATTGCCATTGGCGACTTCGACCTCCCTGAGGAAGCCGTCATCGACCCGGACACCGCCACTATGTCCACTGTCTTCAAATACCTTTTCTCTCCTGCACTCAACCGTCTCGTCTCGGCGAACCCTAGTATCACCATACTCCTCATCCCATCGGTGCGAGATGTCATCGACAAGCACGTCTCATGGCCTCAAGACTCTGTCTTGAAGAAGGACCTTGGCCTGCCAAAGACAGCAAGAATCGTCACCAACCCCATGACCTTGTCGATGAATGAAATGGTTATGGGCATTTCTTCCCAGGATATTCTCTGGCAGCTGAAGCACGAAGAGCTTGCAGCACGCCCATCAGACACCAACCCTCTCTCAAGACTTTCCCGGCATCTACTCGAGCAGAGGCACTTCTTCCCGCTGTTCCCACCCACAGACCGTCAAAAGCTGCCCAAGACAGGCACAGAGGAGGGCATGCCACCAGGCGCCATGCTGGATCTCAGCTACCTTAAGCTCGGTGAGATGGTAAACGTTCGCCCTGATGTTTTGATTGTCCCCAGTTTCCTCCCGCCGTTCGCAAAGGTATGTCATACCCCTGCACAGTTCCCTGCCATTTGCTAACGTTTCCTAGGTCGTCGAGAGCGTGCTCGTAATCAACCCAGGTTACCTGTCCAAGAGGCGAGGCGCAGGCACGTATGCGCGCTTGACGCTGTTCCCACCAAGGGTCGACACTTCATCAGACACCATGGTAAGCCATGGTATCTTTGATCGCGCGCGTGTGGAGGTCAAGAAAATCTGAGCATGACGTGAATGATGCTTCTATATGTATGAAGGTGGCAATGGTTTATTTGGAGTTCGGGTATATTCAGCATCGCTCTCTGGTGAGCCTGGTTAGGATACACTCTAATACAATTTGAGGGTCGGCCTTAGCTCGAATCCACGCGCCGCCGCTTGTCACTGTCATATCTCTCGCGGGAAGGGCTTCGTTTCCTCCGATCCCTGTAGTCGTCTCGTGAGTCTCGTCGCGGCGATCTCGATCTCGACCTGTCCCTGCGACGGTGATCATCCCGGGACCGATACCTATCGTCATCTCTGCCCCTGTCTCTCCTGTCTTTGTCCCTCCGGTCGCTTCCCCGATCCCGATATCTGTCCTCATCCCGTGAACGGTCCCTTCTGTGGCCATCCGGAGCACCCGGCCTGCCAGGCGTCTTTCGATCACCCAGTGGTATAGCGTTGGCCCCCTGTCCACTGCGATCAGCGTCCGGCTGGAAGCGCTCGTCCACGCCATATCTATCGAAACCTCTCCTGTCGCGACCACGATGGTCGTCGAACTCGCCCCATCGTCCAGTGTCTTCGCTCTTGAGATCCTTGTACTTCGTCGCGCCCTTCCTGCCGAGCTTGGTCATGTCACGCTTCTGCAGGTACTCAGGTAGCGCGCTCCGATCCTTGATGTCATCCGCAATCCGCATGCCCATGAGATCACGCTTGTCCAGGCCATAGGCCTTCGCCTCTTCGCTGTAGAAGGCGCCCTTGTGATAGTACTTTTGCAGGTACGACATCTTGCCACGGCCGTCCTTCTCCTCCTGTTGCTTGGCGATCTTCGCGGCGTCCTCGGCGTCGCGCTCCTCCTGCGTGAGGTTCTGCCGGCGCTCGCGCTCCGCGTACTCAGCCTCCTGCTCCGCAATGCGATCGCGCTCGCGCTTGATGCGCTTAAGCTCGCGAATCTTCCAGGCGGCGAGTTCTGCCTCCGGGTCCAGATCGTCCGTCGTGTCCACGTCAGAGCCCTCGGCCTCCTCATCGTCCCAGTGTTTCTTGCCCGCCGCGCGCGCGGCGAGGTCCTTCTTGATCTGCTCCTCGACCAGCGCGTCGGCAGCCGCTTTGCGGCGCGCCTCCTCCTCTGCGTAACGCGCTTCTTCGTCCTTGGCTGCGGCGCCTGACGGGTCCTTGGCCGCGTTGCGTTGGTTCTTTGGGATGAACTTTGGTCGGATCATGAGGCGGCGGGGCGCTTCTTCCTCGCTACTGCTCTCCTCCTCGCTCGAGCTCTCTTCCTCCTCATCGTCGTCGTTGCCGCCTTCTGCCTCTTCTTCCTCTTCCGTCACGAAGCCTTCCTCGGCGGCGAGACGTTCGGCCTTTTCTCGTGCTATTCTGCGATCCTCCAGCTCCTGTGCCTGACGCCTTCGCTCGTCGAGGTTGACCTTGCCGAGGTTGCTCGCGATCTTGGCTGCGCTCGCGGCTTTGGGGGGCGTCGGGATGGTTTTGCTCTTGGGCGCAGTCTCGGTCTCGTCGTCGCTGGCGTCCGAGTCTGAAGAGTCGGCCTCCGGTGCGGCGGGCTTGCCGGCGCGGTAGCGCGCCGGCTTGACGGGGTTCGCTGTCATGCGCTTAGGCGGCATGTTAGCTGGTGGTTAGATGGAAGGATGAGGTTGAAGGGTAAAGTTGAAAAATCGAGCTTCGAGTCGGGTTGCTTTGATGTGGACCGAGAGGCTGGGGTCAGGATGGACCTGCAGAAGCGTTTCCCTGCTGGGGGCCCTGTAAGTTTAGTGGCTTTAGGTGGAACTCAGCGCTGCAGCGATGACACTACCTAATGAGGTAGACTTCAATTTCAAGCACGGGGACGAAATCGGTGCAGCTCAGATCTGAACCCTTAAAGGCACGGTTATGATCTCGATGTTATGCAGACGCATAGGAGTAGTCATTGGATGATCTGGACCAACATCATTAGGGTATCTATCATAAGTCTCATAGCCCTGCCAGAGGCGCAGTCTAACAAGACCCCTCTTTTGGAGCAATCCGATGTGAAGCGAGAAATGACAAAACTAGAGAATCTCCTCGTCGAAGTCGTCGTTTTGCGGCGGCGGTGGCGCCTGCACAGCGTCGACGGCTGGCGCATCTCCGTCATCAGCGCCATCCATCTCCTCGTCTGTCTCCCATTCCTTCTCAGCGACGACCTGCTTCCTCTGTTTCCTTTCCTCCTTGTCCAGATCCTCCTCATCGGGAAACTTCTTCTGGATAAGACTGTGCTTGTTGACGTTGTCCCAATCTTTGCTGCGCTCCTGGATCAGACGCGACGACTTCTTGCTCTTCTCAACCTTGTTGGCGGTCCTGTCCATGATAGCCTCGGCGCGGTCCATTGCCCTCTCGTTCCTCTTCTTAGCCTTGGCGCTTAGCTGCGACTTGCGGTGGCTCGTCCTCTTGGAAACACCCGAGTTGTGTTTGGCGGCCAGGACTGACGGCCGATCGACCGCTTCTGAGGGGGGCTTGACATTCTTGAGAGACTTGTCGGTGTCGATGTCTACATCCGTCGCGCGCCTCGCAGCTCTCGAGTGCTTTGAGGGTTCTGGTCGCAGGGTTAGACAAGTTGCTACAAGCAAGTAGAAAGTTCCTTACGTCTGCTCTTCTTGGAAACGCCCGGCTTTGCCATCTTTGCGACCAATTGTTTCGTTTCGTTCTGGTGATGCAGGTAGGTCTAGCATCAGCAGTCGGGTTCATTGTGGGGGATATCAAGAAAATTCCTTATCGGGTCAGAAATTCTTATCTTATCCCGATAAGAGCGGGGATAATCACAAGCCTTGCATCTCAGCACGTTGCGCACCGACCAATCCTTGTCAGAGAGTTTGCCCCTGGTGGAACCCTTGGTCCCGCTCATCGCCTCTGCTTAACGGACACCTCCCTCTCTCTCTCCAGCCGTCTAACCGTGCAGAAATCTAGACATTCCTGAGCCTTTACTTTCTTTGATCACACGAGCTGCGCCCACCACTTCCTAATTCGCGACTCATCGCCCCCCTAGTCAACCCCTGCGATTAATCATCCCCGACATGGCAGCACCCGGCTTTTCGGTCTCTGTGTCGCTCAAGCTTGCTTAAAGCTGCTCGTTTCGTTTCTTGTCACGCCAACTGCCTTATTAGCAACAAACACACTCCCGCCAAACCCTTAGCAGTATGAATTCGCCGGGCTCGAGATATAAGGATCTCTACGACGGACCTGATCCTTACCGGCAATACCACCAATATAACAACCAGAGCTTCTGGACCAGGCTGAACGAGCCGAGCGTCGTCGTCTCCGTTTTGGCACTCGTCTTCACTGCGCTTTACTCCATCTTCGGCGCATCTACTCTTCCGACCACCCTGCTCTCCCGCCCCGGTCAGACCCTCTGGGACATCATTGTTTGGCTTACGCCATACGACGCCTTGACCCTTCTCGAAGGCTGGCTGCATCCACCACTATTCCCCCAACCGATGCTTCAGAACCAGGCGAGAACACATGCCGCGAAGAGCGAACTCCTCCGAAAGATACTTGGCATGGACAGAGAGGGAGGCATCATGGGAACGGTCTCCCAGGCCGGCATCAGAGGCCTATCTTCCATGTCTGGCGCCATGATGAGTTTTAAGGGCTTCAGCGACCATCCTCCAGGACTAGGAAATCTCGACAACTCTTGCTACCAAAACAGTATTCTCCAAGGCCTCGCTTCGTTGAAAACATTACCTAAATACCTCGCCGACCCCGTCCAAGACCCCGAACTCGATCGACAGAAGGTCGAGGCAGTCGATACGTTACGCAACCTCATCGAAGATTTAAACAGCGCTCGAAACTACGGAAAGACGTTATGGACGCCGGGCTCTCTCAAGAACATGAGCACTTGGCAACAACAGGACGCGCAGGAGTACTTTTCGAAACTTCTCGACGAGGTCGACAAGGAGATCGCCAAGGTCGCGAAAGCGACGGAGAAGCTGTCTGGGTTCGAGTCGGATTGCGCCAACGACGACACCGCTACGAGCCAACACAGCGATGATAGCGGTTACCAGAGCCTGTCGACTATTTCCAAGATCAGCTCCGCATCGAAATCTTTGCGCAACCCCTTGGAAGGTCTGACTGCGCAGCGAGTTGCATGCGTGGAATGCGGCCACTCCGACGGCCTCTCCATGATTCCATTCAATTGTCTTACGCTGAGCTTGAACACGGACGGCAACGACCACGATCTCTACGAACTATTGGACGCGTATGCGCATATTGAGTCTATCGAAGGTGTTGAGTGCGGCAAGTGCACTTTGCTGAAGGCCAAAAGGCTGTTAACGGTACTCCTCGACAGAGCTGCGGGAAATACGAGTGAAGAGAAGTTGAAGGAGCCGAGGTCGCGATTGGCAGCCGTTGAAGAAGCTTTGGAAGAGGATGACTTTGAGGACAAGACCCTCACAGAGAAGTGCAAGTTTCCGGCCAATTTCAAGGTGTCTTCGACGAAGACGAAGCAAGCAGTGATTGCGCGCCCGCCTCAAAGTCTTGCTGTACACATGAACAGATCCGTCTTTGACGAAAACACCGGCATGATGTACAAGAACTCTGCAGGAATTCGCTTCCCATTGACACTGGACCTTGGCCCATGGTGTCTGGGTAGCGCCCCCAAGCCAACGACGGGCAAGCCAGTGGACGGATCAGCATCTCCAGCTCTCAGTGATGCGTCTGACGAGGAGCAATGGCTACTTGACCCAAGATCGTCTATGATCGCAGGTGACAAGCGCAAGTCGTACATCACTGGACCCATATACGAGCTTCGCGCCGTCGTCACACATTATGGTCGCCACGAGAACGGCCACTACGTCTGCTACCGGAAGTTTCCCCGCAATGCGCCTCCTTCGGCTGGCGAGACCAAAGATCAAGGCGAGGACGACAGTGATGGTGCGAGCTCACCTATCCGAAAGCCAACCCCTGAGGATGATGTTGCCGATGTGGAGATGGATTGGTGGCGTCTAAGCGACGAAAGCGTCAGAAAGATTGACGCGGAAGAGTTGTTGGATCAACACAACGTGTTCATGCTGTTCTACGACTGCGTCGACCCCAACATTATTCCAGCATCCGAGGTCGCTGAATCGGAAGCAGCTATTCCTGCAAACACCGACATCGCTGTAGACGACGACGAGACGCCTAAGGTAGAGAAGCCTGCGTTCACTTGCACGGTGACAGAGGTGTCTGAGACGGATGATGAGGAAAATGATGCTCCTTCCGAGAGTCTTGTCGTATCGGCTGAACCGCCAGACGTTGGCACTATGTCGGCCGTTCCTCTCCCGCAGGACGATAGCAATAACGCGGGAGATGGCAACAACACCCCCGAACGGTCGCCTCGAGTAATCGCGGTTTAGTTGACACGGCTATTTGGAAGGGGAAGAATGAAACGGGGTTCTGTTTAAACAAAGCATAGCGATGGCGTTGGGTCCGCGGTAATACCATACGAACGTGGTGCGGCTGGAAAGGGGGGGCTCCTTGGTCAAGTCGAGCTTAATGGTTGTTTTAACTCGTTTGGTAATGACACATAGTGTTGCATTCACACACTGAACTTGATTACCTATGATTCTGCCTCTCCAAAATATTCTTTCGTCATGTCGGGCCAGAATTCCTTCTCAGCGAGCAGGACCTGGTTCCAGACCGCCAGCGCGCGCTTCTTCAACCCCTCCTCACTCGCCTTCCCCGCCTCGACGGCCTCCGTAACGCCATGTTCGACAGCCACCCTCATCGCATTCACAAACTGCCAGAAGTCGTCATTCGTCCAGTTGGGAATAAAGGCGTTCCTCAGCGCCCCGCCATCCGCATCGTCGTTGCCGTCCTTGCCCGGATCCAGCGCATCCTTCACGCCCGTCCACGCATCCAGGTAGCACTTCTCCGTCGCGTAGAACAGCACCGCGCCCTCGAGCCACGGCAGGACCTCCTCGCCGGTCTCGAAGCTCGCGAAGAGCTTCTCGAACCGGTGCAGCCCCTCGAGCTTGGCGGTCGGCTCGACGACGCCGTCCTTGACGGGCAGGTCGAGCTTGAGTCTGTATTCGGCCGCCGTTGTATAGAAGAAAGCCAGCTCGCGGTTGATATTGCCCAGAGCGTTGGTGAGCCAGATGATCAGTTTCTGAGGCGTTGTCAGGTCGTCGGGAACGAGATCCGGTAAGTGGACGGTGCTGAGCAGCCGGCCGGCGCCCCTGATGTAGGAGTGGATGTACAGCCTGTCGTTGGAGAGCCAGTAGCTCAGGTGCGATTTTGGGCACGTGCCGGCGGCGGCGGCGGTGAGGAAGGGGGACTTCGTGGCGAGGCGGTAGCCTTCCGGGTCTGAGGCGATGAGGTCCTCCGTGAAGGTCATTGTGTGTGGTTGACCAGGGTCTGTCTTCGGGGAGAACTTGTAGCTGAGTGGCTGAGCTTGATAAGTTTGCCCGTCCGGCTGAGTAAGATTTTGCTTTTACTCAAGTTCAAAACGTCGGTACCCAGGAAGTGGGATCAAGCTTTCGGTTCAGCTGGTGCTTACATTACATTACAATTGCTTCTTTGCGCCATTTAGAGCGAGGAGGCGGGTGAGGGTAATGGCATGACGTTTGTGTTGGAACACGGCGTTAGTAATCCTTGGCTTGCAGAGTTTCGCGGTCCGCAATAGGATGGATGCAGTCCTTTTGCTGGAACTGTGAACGCTGTCTGCATGTTCGAATCCACCGTCCTGCATAGCAATATTACCCAATGTACATCGTTCATGGTCATTTATTTCCCAAAGGCTATATCTACGCAATGCCTGCTCATGGTATACAATCCTGCTCAACACACAGGCGCCCTAACAAAACCTGGAGGAGCGCCATGAAACACCGACCATCCGTCATTAACACCTTAAAATATTTTTCGTTTTCAGTTCCTTTTTTTTTCCTTTCCACAATGGATCCAAAAAGTCTTTTGATGCATAGGTATTTCCAAAACTCCCCGCTTTGTACAGAACAATCCAGAAAGATACTTTATCGGCTAGAAGAGACGTTGCTCAACCAGTCCGCCGGCGCCGCTGAGCCCTTGTATGCGAAGCCGATGACGAGCAGGAGAGTGATGAAGACGAGCAGGGCGAAGAAGATTGCGCGGCGGACAAGAGGGGACAGCCGGCCCTCGTCAAGAGTCTGAGAGTTCCAGACCCCACGAACCTTGGCAAAGGCGCCCTGGCCCGAGGTCTTGATCTGTTCCCATCCGGTTGAGTAAATGACGAGGCCGAAGAGCGCGACCGAGTAGCCGACGAACTGCATGAAGGTGATGCTGGTCTTCCAGATGAGGACGGAGGCGATGATGAGAAGGATGTTCTTGAGGATGCCAGTAAGGGTCATGACCAGGCCTGAGGTCTTGCCGATCTGTGGGGCCTGTTAGCGATACGAGTTGTGGGATTCGAGGCTGTGCGAAACTTACGAGGAACACACTGGAGACGTTGAGCATGAAGGCGACCGCAGCGTTGAGGAGGAGCATGCTGACGCCCGTCCTGTGCAGATCCTCCACGTTGAACTTGCTGAACTCGCTGGCCCAGGCAACGAAGAAGTTCATGACAGCGCAGACCGGGGCGTAGTAGTACAGACTGACGAGGGGGTCCATCTTTTGCGCGCTCTCATCGCCCTTCAGCAGAACCTGAATCATGACGAGGCGAATGCCCTCAAAAACGATGCCGCCCATTTGGAAGATGAAGCCGATCCAAGAGAACTCGATCTCGCCGAACGAGGCGAGCGCCACACCGGCTACGATGAGAAGGACGTTGTAAAAGGTCTTCATCGAGGGTTCCGCGACGCCCCAGATCCAGCTGATGATGAGAACGGCGACGGGCGCGCCAGCCTTGAGCATCTGAATGAAAGAGACAGATAGATAGAGGTAGACCAGGTTGGAGCAGACGAGGGAGCCTGAGTACAGCAGACCGATGGGGACAATGGCGCGTAGGTAGACGCGACCGGTCATCTTGACCTTGTGGCGGCCATCGAGGAGGCTTGTGGTGCGCGCCAGCACCTGGGTTGCAAGAGTTGAAAAGACCAGATGCCAGAAGGTGAGAATGACGGCTAAATAACGTTAGTGAGTTGGGATGAGAAGCGCGTGCCAAGACCGATGAGGTGTTCACTTGGCGATGAGAGTTACATACGATATTCTACGTCGCGGTTAGCTCATGTGAAAGACAAGAAAGACGCGTTAAACTCACTAAAGCCTGCCGTGTCGAGCAGCCATTTGTTGAAGAGAATGGTCAGATTTGAGAAGAAGATCCAACTCCTACGCGGCGGTTAGATGAGTTGCCAAGACTGCGTTGATGAAGGCGACGGCGAGGGTGTCTAAACATACGCGATGAAGAAGGCCGGGTGAGCGGCCTTGGAGGCCATGGGCTTCTCCGTTGTCGGGAGAGTGGTCATGACGGCTACGTTTGATAGACTTCAACTACAAGAGAGCGGGATGCTGTGTCCAAGAAAGGCCAAGAAGGTTGGCGATCGGTGTTGTCGGGGGTCGGAGGTGGGTGAGATGCGGCGACGGAGACGGCGGATGTGGGCCGGAGCGAGTCGGGGAATCGGATTGCCCAGAAGAGATGGCCAAAAGAGCGGGCGCAGCGATTTGAACACCACCAGAGGAAAAAGGTTGGAAAGGAAAGAAAACGATGGTGGGCGGTGGCAGCTGTGAGGTTCACAATGAGCCGCGTTGAGAGGGAGTGGTAAGGAATGGAGGAAGAGCAAGGAGTGAGGACGAAAGGGTGAGGTAGGGTAAGGGAAGCTGGCGACAAGCCCGAGGAGGAGGAGAGGCAAGAAGTGGAAGGCTCAAGGTAGGTAGGCAAGGTAAGCTTAGGTACTTCTACTCCAAGTCCTCAAGCGTTGGTTGGAGCCCGCTGGTGTCGCGCCGTCTGGTGCTGGAGCTTCTGCGGCGCAGGAACCCGAATGAGCCCCCCTTTCCCAGGCTCGTTTCTCGTGTTAGGTACCGGCAGTACTTGTCTCTAGGCACTTGGGTACCAGGCAAAGCAGGCGGTACCTCTCCGGACAGCGGGCTGACGGGCACCTGAAAGAAGGGCTGGGCTGACTGAGGGGTAAAGGGGACTTGGGGGACCTCTTTTTGGGAGAGGAGACGCTAACGTCGGGCGGCGGCGGGCACGTGGAGGGAGCGACGGCGACTAACACTAAAGGAGGCCTTCGCTGTTAAACCCCTGTGTCTTGGCCTTCTTTAAAGGTAGACCAGCTCGGCAAGCTGCAAGTCGTCGTTGGAGGAACCAGTCCACGATGCAGCAAGTATCCCGTTCTGGCGAGTGGTCTGTTGGCGAGCTGACACTGCAGTTCAAGAGTAATCAATCAATCAGGCAACGATGGTAACGAGACATCCACCGTCTTCTTTGGGAGTCTGCTGTGTCAGCCTGGGTATGTCCAATGTCAGTTTCGTCCTGATCGTCGACTGAAGTCGTACAAGGGGATGCCATGTGCGACTCAGTCCCAGCTGTGGTGGTGGATGTCACTGACGGTTCGAATGCGACTCTGGAGTCAAGCAACTCTAGAGACGGGAGGTGTTCGGACGAGGAAGGGAAGTCAAGACGGGGTTGACAACGGAGCGGCGGTCCAGTTCAGCCCTGGCGACGATCTGAGTGAGATCCGAGGGCAAGGTAAGAAGAAAGGTATGGTTGTACAAGAAAGTTGCCCGGAGCTTTGGGTGGTGAGTGACTGAGTTCCGGCAGGCGAACGAGACATTGCACACAGGCATAAGACAAGACTCAGTACTGCGATGGCATAGGCAGGGGGGAAAAGGGGACACACACAGTTTCCCCGTTCATCAACCAAAGAAAGTTTGTTTGACCGGGCCCCGCGATTGCATCGTATTGATGAGCTGGTGCTAGGCCAGAGCCTGTGCCGCAACACCCAGGTTGCCAGGACCCCGGACTTCAAACGACCAACAATAGCGCGCGCGCGCCGAGAGACCCGGCTTGCCGCTGAATTGCTTGCTGCTGCGAAGGCTGCTGGGGTCTCGGTGTCATGTTTTTATTTAATTTAAGCTCTGCGGACAGGGGTTGGAGGCTGCAACTAGCCCGAAATGGACCGGTGGGGATTGCTCTTCGCCTGTGCCGCACTGCTGTGCATTTTGCATGGCTGCGCGCTTCTCCGTTTGTGAGGTAGCGAAATTGGTACTTGTATCTGTAAAGGTAGGCAATGAATTTCACTTGCAGCGATTGTGAGTTGCGGCGTTGTTGGTTGACTGCATCCCGTCCCTTGTGTCAATGCCTCGGACTCTCTCTTGGGGTCCGAATCATAGTTGCATTTCAGGGCAGGAATATAGCGTCTTTCTCCTCTAAAAAGGAATGTCGCCCATGTGAAGAGAAGAAGCTTGTTCATATTGCCGTCCAGATAATGACTGCGTTGGTGACCTTACATTTGAGACGCCGCCCCTGAAACCGCCCCCATCTTCCACCGCCAACAACCAACAACCCGAGGTTTCTCGTGTGTCTTCTCACGCTGACAGCCAACAACGGCTCTGGCTTCTGTCAACGACCATGGAAACCCGCCAAATTGACCTGCCACTTTCGTGCGATGGGTGTGTGGGGGCAGCCGTCGTCGGTATGAGATGCCTATTCTGAGGACTTGAGCATCCATCTCGGCGGCTGAAGTGAGGCGACTAAATCACTGAACAAGCGCGATGGTGAGGCACATCGCCAAGAGTTGACCAAGTTGTCTTGGTCAGTCGAGAGACTGCAAGGATTGTTACTCGAGCACCCAGCTAGCCGTCACCAGGAGCAAAGATCGAGACACCACGAAACGGAACCGGGCAGATAAGTCTGGTATCACACGATACAAGGAGCGGCATGCATGAGTAGGCACCCAAGAATAATTTTGAGTTTACTGGCATTAATGACAACTCAAAGGACATGTCGCTGTTCCCGATGCCGACTTACGACGCCACCACTCTATCGCCGTCACGCACGAAGTCCCAACGACGGGGTAGCTGAATCTCAGCTGCATGCTGATCTTGCACAGCCAAGAATGCGACGAGCCTTTATCTGATGGGGGTGAAATCTACTCATATGCATAGCTGGAGTTAGGAGCGTGGACAAACTCATTGTAGAAGTCTGATGTGAGCCCACGGCCCCCATCGAACCCTTCAAAGTTCAAGTACTTCAGGCCACACCCCTCATCGGCCCATGTATCTTGCCTCATATTTGGCTGATACGCGCGTGTCTCTTCCCTTCTCATCCTCTTCGTCCGGCCTCAGTCGTTCTTTCATTCATACCGAAGCTCACCTGGATTGAGCAGTGTTCGGGCGTTTCTTTCACTCTTTTACCACATTATACTATTATAACACACCTTGCCCGTCATGAAGGCATCCGCTTCATCTCACCAGATCAAGTATCTGGCCTTTCTTGCCTCAGCCGTCTTCATCTGGTTCGTCTGGCGAGTGAACGCCCCCTCGGAAGTAGCAGACAGGGTGCGCAAGATCGCCTCCCAATACAACTCGTCGCCCAGCGATGGCATCGACACCAGCACGGGTCTCGCCAAAACCGAGATCCTCTCGCCCGAGAAGGCGGAGGAGTACTGCGACCACTACCGCCTCAAGTCCATGCCCGAGGACTTCGTCCGCAAGCGCAAGATCTACGACCTGCTCCTCGTCAACACCGAGATCGAGATGCTCGAGCTGCGCCTCGGCCAGATGGCGCCGTACGTCGACTACTTTGTGATCCTCGAGTCCGACAAGACCTTCACGGACCACCCCAAGCCGCTGTACGTCAAGGACAACTGGGACCTCTTCAAGCCCTGGCACGACAAGATGATCGTGCGCACCATGGACCTCGAGGCCATGAAGGACGGCTCGACCTGGGACCGTGAGAAGCTGAGCCGCAACGCCATGTACGAGCAGGTCATCCCCGGCCTGACGGGCGAGCAGGCGGCCTCGGAGGACGACATCCTGCTTGTTTCCGACGTCGACGAGATCCCCAAGCCCGAGGTCCTCCGCGCGCTGCGCAACTGCGAGGTGCCGACCCGGGTGACGATACACTCCAAGATCTACTACTACTCCTACCAGTGGCTGTCGAGAAACGACTGGAACCATCCGCAGGCGACGCTTTTCCGCGGCAAGGATACGGTCCTGCCGGACGACCTGCGTTCAAACGCCAACGATCATCACTTCAACCAGGGCGGGTGGCACTGCAGTTACTGCTTCAGCACCACTGAAGAAATGGCGCAGAAGATCAACTCATTCTCCCACTCCGAATTCAACAAGCCCGAGTTCAAGGACCCGCAATGGATCGTCAAAGTGGCTCGGTTGGGTCATGATATGTAAGTTCTCCTTTGACGGCATCATTCAGAGCATGTTATTAACGACATTGTCACAGCTTTGGCAGAGGCGACTCCAACTTTGACCGCATTGAGGTGAACCATGATATCCCGGACTACATCAAGCGCTATCCCGACAAGTTCAAGTATCTGGTTGACCGCGATCCCCCCAACGCCAACTTCAGGGACTACCAGACCAGTCTAATGGAATGAGCTGACAGCAGCCTTGGGCTTGTGATTGTGGAGTGATCTGATACTGGAAGGGGACCTAGGAAAGACGGGATGACAGGCGTTCGGGCGCATCAATGATATGCAGACAGGCAAGGATTTACCATAGAAAGGCACATTTTGAAACCATTACCTCTGAACATCAACTACACTACAGTCTCAGTGAGGCAATCTTTCTCATCATCACAACTTCTGTAAAACTCCCATCTACCACTGCACTGAGTAAGCCCAGCGGGTATCGTTACACTCGCTTTCGCTCCCATCGCACCGTAACGAACCAAAGGAGCAGCAGGAGACGTCCGATAGGCCAAAATAAAGTTTCCCCAGACGGAACCGCCGGAAACTTCCTGAGACGTGACGCCCATTCAGCAACTCGGAAAGGCCCCCCACCTCCACATCCCATATCAGGCACTCCCATGACTCGGCGTGCCTAATTCCAGCAGAGCCCTTCCTCCCCTCCATCAAACTCGCGCACCTTCAAACTTTAGTTGATCAAGACGACCATCACCATCAAGTCAAATCAGCAGCGAAAAAGGTAAACCAAATGAAGCCAAGTCAGCGAGTTGTAGAGCGAATCAGAGCAAGTGGGTTTGTCCATCATTTACTTGCAGTTAGGTACGGAGAAAAGTAAAGAGAAAAAACTTCAAAAAGGGTGGCCCTGGAATACACTATTACAATCCTTATCTAACTTTACAGATCCGAGACGGTCGCAACGGTGACCTGCCCTACGAGTTTCAAGTTGGCGAATGGGCTGAGGCTGGGGAGATTACAGCAATACCGGCGGGAGAACCTTGAATAATCACAGCCAAGACGGCATGCACCAACGGCGTCCCAGGTAACGCGCAGCAAATACTCGGACTCCAGCGGACGTTTTCAAGTCCATCCCTCCGGCAATGAAGAGCCCTTGCTTGACTCGTGGTGGGCGCTGTCATCTGGAACCAAGGTTTGGGTACCCTGCCTTCGAGCAAGAAGGCTGCATTTCTCTCTTTGCTTGAAGCCCTGGGCGATGATTAAGCGAGAGAAATCATCGCATCATGGACTCGGCTGTTCGAGGACCGGGGTTCCCCGCCGTTCGTTAAGCCCTATCGTGCGCCGTAGCCGCCCGACCATCCGGCACCGGCACCCGGCCCGAGCCCGAATCGTGAAGTGGGGCCGGCCAGCTTTCGGCGTCGGAGCTGATCGATCGTTCAAGCTACTAGGTACCTTGTTTGTGAATGTAGGAGGATGAAGCCTTGTGGGAATTACCTTCCATAGCACCATGCATTTTATACTTGTACAATTGCTACTCTGCCATAGCTGGTATGAAAAATGTGAATCCGTAGTTCGACCCTTTAGAACGCCCCCTTTTCCCAGCCTACCCGTTCAGATACCGCGAGAAGCTGCGCTTTTGCTGTTGATTTCCCTTGAAGTCCGTGGGGTATTCAGCCACAGGAAGAGGAACCAGCGGCTTCTAGCGGCTCCTGCTCCTTCTTCGACTGCGGCTCCGATCCCTCCGGTCCCGACGTGACGAGAGGCTCCTATCTCTCCTGCTGCGGCGGTCCCTATCGCGATCTCTGTCACGGTCACGGTCTCTATCCCTATCCCGATCCCGGCGATCCCTGGACCTGTCCCTATCACGGTCTCTCTCGCGGTCGCGATCACGGTCTCTGTCTCTTCGATCTCTGTCTCTGTCACGCTCCCTGTCTCGATCCTTGGCTCGACTTCTGCTCCGCGACCGGCTGCGGCGGCGGTCTTCACGATCATCACGCGACAGATCGTGCGGTCGCTCCCTGTCTCTACCGGGAGGCACGTACCGATCAATCTCGTCCAGATCACGCTTCCGTTTGGCTTCTGGAGATCGTTCCCCTGTACTCCTCTTGTCGTCGATTCCTGGGACAGGCATGCCCTTCTCACGAGCCTCGCGTTGAGCGGCCAAGTATGCCTTGGCTTCCTTCTCCCGCTTCCGAACCTCATCCATCTTTGTTGTCTCTCTAACCTCCTGTTCTTTGTCCAGTTTGGAGGCTGACCTGACTGCCGAAGAAGTGGGACGCGACCGTGACCTACTCTTGCGGTCGCGGTCCCGCTCCTTCTCTCGGTCCCTAGCCCGATCAGGAGATCGATCTCTTCTGGTACGAGAACGACTGCGATCCTGACGAACAGACTCGCGCCTCTCGACTCTTGGAGATCTGCTGCGGTCTCGCCTTGCCGTGCGTGGTCGGGATCTTGAGCGGGACCGTTCGCGCCTGTCAGATCTCAAGCGAGAACGGCTTCTATCCCTTCTCTCTACCCGAGTGCGTGAGCGACTCCTTTCACGTCGCTCTGTCCTCGTTCGGGAGCGACTTCTGTCCCGTCTGTCGTTGCGCCGATCCCGGCTACGGTCCCTAACGCGAGAGCGGGAACGGCTTCTGTCGCGACGATCGTGTCGTGTGCGAGAACGGCTCCGATCGCGTCGAGTTCTGGTACGGGAAGGAGAACGAGTCCTATCTCGCCTCTCTGTACGTGTCCGAGATCGACTCCTATCGCGTCTAGGTCGTGACCGGGAGCGAGATCTGTCACGTCTGTCGCGAGAACGGTCCCGGCGGGGTGACCTGGAACGACGATCACGTCTGCGGCGGTCATCATCATCTCTCGTGCGACGCCTGTCATCGTCACGATCACGTTCACGATCCTTTCCGCCATCTCTCGACCGACTGCGGCTTCTGGTCCGTGTCTCTGTCGTCTCAACCTTTGGCGCGGCAGCCACACTGCCATCTCTTGCTTCTTTCTTGACCACCGGATCAGAGGGCTTTTTGGATTCCGAGACCTTTGGCGAGTCGCGCGAAGAGACCTTCTTGATAGGCATGATAGCAGACGCTGGTGCCAGCTTTCTAGGCGGGGGAGCCAACGCCTCATCAATTTCCATCTCGGGTTGCTTCGCTGCACCGTGAGTGCTTTCGCGCAAGAGATCCAGAAGGGCTTCCTCTTCGAGCCTCTTCATGTCTTCCTGGGTGAGATTCTTCTTGGCCTTCTCAGTCTCCTCTTCTCGCTGTTTGCGTCTCCGTTCCCTTTCCTCTTGCCGCTCACGCTCGCGTTCGGCATCGCGTTCACGGTCACGTTCGCGATCGCGGTCCCGGTCTCTTCGACGGCTGCGGCTTCGACTCCTATCGCGATTCCGGTCTCGACTCCGCTCCCTGTCTCTTTGCCTGCGGCGTTCGTCTCGCTCGGCGTCTCGCTCAGCCTGAGCCTTTTCCCTAGCGGCTCTGCGGGCGTCTCGTTCTGCCTTGCGCTGCTCCTCCGCCTTTTCGCGCTCCTTTTCGACCTTCTTTCGCTCCTCTCTGGCGATCTTACGCTTTTCTTCTTCGATGGCTAGCTCCTTCTGCCTTAGCTCTTCGCGTACTCTCTCCCGCTCAGCTCTTCTGCCCATAGTATCTGCATGGTATTCCTCGTCTGTTTTGGCGCCTCGCTGTTGCTCCGCGGTCGCTTCTTCCTCGCCAATGTCGGCTCGACGAAGCTGGCGCATTCGCTCCTCGATCGCCTTCTTATCAATGAGCTGCGTAATGACTTGCTCGGCCTTTTGGTAGACGCCAGATCGCTCGAGAGCGCCATCAATAAGGGCGGCAGCCTTTCCGCGGTCGAGTGTGAGAAGTTGGTGGGGGTTTCGTTGAACCTCGTGTTCGGCGACCTCGAGGATGGCTTTCGTAACTTGTTCCTCGTAGTCCTGAATCGCCCGTTAGCAGAATAACCGGTGGCGAAATGAGAGTGCAGACGTACGCTGGCAGCGAACTTGTCCCACACTTCTTTACGAATTGCGTCGTAGCCTCCCTTCTTCTTGAAGCTATGCGCCAGTGAATCGATGGCAGCTCGGGTGGCAGACGGCAGAGGAAGATCAGAGGCTTTGTATTTCCTGGGAGCCGGAGCATCGTTGGCGGCTGTCGCCCCCGCGGCCGCATCAACAGACGCAGATGCCATGGCGGCAGGTAGCGCCGACGTCGCCATCCTGCTGTGACCCCAGTCAGGGGACGTTGGTATTGATATTTGCGCCGCCGGGCGGTGGTGTCGTTGGTGTCGCAGAACAGCGTCGTTTGCGCGCTTCGCAATCGATCGATGGGTCTGCCTGCACCGCGAGACAAATGAGATGTCTGTCGCAAAAGCTTTCGCCTATCCCCTTTGGCGACGGCAACAACCTGATGCGAAGGTTGTGGAGCGAATGATTTGGAGGAAGAAAGAGCTCGAAACCCTTGCTTCTAGAGACGCGTTCGGAAAGCGCCCCAGACGCTGATTTCTCAAAGTCCAACAGTGCAAGCAGTTCGGTCGGTGGAGCAGACAAGGGGGCCACAAACTTTAGTGGCACCTCCATCCCTGTCCAGACCGGGATGTGGTCCGAGCGCTACTCATGCAGGCTGATTCTCAGCGGCTTCATTTTACAATTGGCAGGACTTCGGTGCTTGGAGGTAGCAAACATGTATTAAATTTCTGTATGGTCCAGATTGTTCTCTATTATTATGAGGTGTTAGTCCCATGGAATAACATACGAATTAAAGTTATACATAATGTGCGCTTTTAGTATGCATCAACGCGGCTTGAATAGATCTTTGGACATTTTGGTTCAACAAGCAGCAGAAACGTACCTTGCGAGTAAACTCACAACTAACCTATTTTTGATGGAAGTGTTTTGGACACTTGAGCAAGTTTCGAACCATTGCATCTTCAATATAATAGTAAGTACCTCGCTGACAACAGCACAACCCTTGCGGTTGTGCACTTATGCGGTACATCATGATATTTACGGATCAGCTGTAGATCAACTACTCGAGACCCCATCAATCAGTGAAGAACACAGGCCTCATCCACGAGAACAATTTGCAAAACCAGAAAATAGGATGGCCATGAGCACCGGTGAATATGTATTAATGATGCTAGAGGACCAACCAAGCGAAACGCCATCAAAAAAGCCGCGCCTTTGCTTTCCTAGTTGCCAGTCTTTTACTCCTTGACCATAAACTCCTCGATATCCTTGTCTTCATCATCCTCTTGCAGCTCAGCAAGTCTCTTCTCCTCGGCGTCAATCATCTTCTTCAGGACGTCGCGCTGCCTCCTGCGCGCCTTCTTGCCCCAGTCGGTCGCTGTCGTGGAGCTGGGAGCGTCCTCGTCATCGTCGTCGCTGTTCTCGGGAATCTCGACCTGGCCGCGCAGGGTGTTGGGCTGGACCTGTGCCTTGGGGGCGTTAGGATCCTCGATGGGAGCCTCGTGCTCCTTCATCTGCTTGCCGCCAGCCAGCTTCATGAGGTAGGGACGGACGAGGCAGTATGCGCCGACGATGATAACCAGGCGAATCCATTTCTCGGGCGTCATGCCCTCGAGACTGCCGCGCAGGTTGGTGCTGAAGCGCGTCCAGACGGTGGACACAAGGTCGAAGATGCCGGCCATTTTGACGGTTTGATGTCGCAAAGTGGGGGGAATTAAGAGGCAACGCTCGTGTAGAGGAAAGCCAACCGAATCGGTTTGCGCTTTGCGAGTTGGGAGGAAGTCGTACGTTTTATGTAGTCGTTGCAGATGGTTGAGTCGGGTCAGCCGGATGAGGTGGCGGCCTTGAGGGAATAATAAAAGGAGAATTGATGCGGATGAGGAATCGCGGCTAGAGAAAAATGTCGCGACGTTGAGAGTCGGCCCGCACGGCGTCAAAATTGCTCCAAAGGCCCCACGTGGAAGAACCCGCTAGCTTCGGCCAATTGGTGGCACGGTATTGGAGAAACGCTGGAAGCTCACACTGGTGCAGCGACTTCCAAGGGTCCTACAGGGGGTTCGCCGGTGATGTCACAGCGCGTTTCTTCGCATTGCAATGGAAACCTCAAGGTACACACGCAGAATGAATACCACTAGAACAGGACAAGAAGCCGCGAAACAAGTTGGCTATCTATCTCAACTCAAAAAGATATGTTTTTTTATTTGATAGCTGTGAAATCTGTAGGATATGATTACAACATAACAACAATTTGGAAGAAGTTTCCCGCGAGGAAGCACCTGCCCGGCATCCCAAAGCGATGCTTAGTCATCAAACGCGAGATCATGTGATTATTTTCAGTGTTCACACAGCATGGTTAATCAACTTGACCTTCAAGGTTGAAGCGTCCAACCATCAGCTCACGCAATTCGTGCAATTTCGCTACTGATTTGACGCGCCAAAACTTACCTTCTCGGCTATCATTCTACTTCCGTCGGGAAAACAGAGCATCGCCGAGACCAGAGGCGCGTCTGTCGCGTAAAGTGCTACCGACCTTCAACGCACCCCACGTCTATCGCCCTCACGATGGCCGAATCAATGGACGAAGAGCAGCGTGAGGTAAGCAGATTTCACAGCTGGTGGCTACAAGATTCTGGTCTGATCCGGTATTCAGCGCCTCAAGGCCGCACTCTGGTTCGCCGTTGGCAAAATTGTCGATGAGGAGTCGCTGAAGCAGAACCGCAACGCTACACCCCAATTCATCGGTGCATTAACTGAGATGGTTTGGTCACAAATAGGTAAGAGACATGCAAGTATATGCCTATGTGCTTTCCCTGGCTAAATTGCCCGCAGAGTCCGTCGCCATTGACCTCGAAAACTTCAGTCGACATGCCAGGAGGTCGACGGTGCAGACGGAGGATGTGGTGCTTCTGGCGAGGAAGAATCCCGATTTGTTGGACCTTGTGAAGGAATTTGTCGAGCAGAAGAAAGCCGACAAGCTCAAGAAGGGCAAGGGCAAAGAGAGGAGATGATCAAATCGGCTGGCGTTGTTTGCATTCCGATGATGAAAGAGGCCGTGGCATTTATGATACCCAAAATTTATGAATTCAGCAACGAAACAGAGTCATGCTTTGCCACTTTTCCCATTCAAGTGATGAGGTATCTCGTAATCCCGCACGTGCTTAACTCCTAAGACGCCATTTTCCCTTACAAGCCTCAATTAAAACATCACCCTCTGGTCCACGTTAGGACTGTTCTTGTTGTCTTCTTCGTTCCTCGGCTGCTTCGGCCTCGTCTAGCTCGTTTAGTAATTTCCACTCTTCTTCAGTGAGGTGAAACCACTGGGCAAGGGACGTGATGATTGTCCAAAGTTCGCCAGCAATTACCAGGTGCAGGAACTCCAACCCCAAAAAGTTGGTGATGCCCTTCAATGTCATACCACTGAAGATATTGATCTCGTGGATATCATCAAAAGGAAGCCCCATCCTGGACCTGTAAGACCTTGCGACCAGTCTGAGTGAAAGAGCCTCATACGGAGACACGAGCACGTAACCAGAGATGACTGTGAAAATGTCTGATGCGAGGCATGCAGGGAGTCTAGTCAGCATGGTGTCCATATACTGCACGGAGGCGTGGCCGTAGGCGCTATCTGGTCCTGTGCTTGGCCGAAGCTCTGCGGACCAGAGTCCTGGAGGCGCATCGGTGGAGTCAGTAGCTTCAACATCGAAGCTGATCAGTGTTGCACTGACGCCTCCATCCTCGTCATCATCGCTACCGTACTCGTCTCCTCTTGCTGAGAATGTACTTTGACGGCGGACTGCCTGAACTGGGGCACCGTCATTGGGCTCTTGGGGAACCCCGCCGAGTGCCTCAATTGGCACCTCCGGAATAGCTTCGTCTTGGGGCTGTTCAATTTCCGGCTCTGAGTCCGGTATCTCGGGGATCGGCGCCGGTGGTGGGGGAGGTGGGGGAGGCTTGCGATGATGTACTGTGTTTGGCAGTCTCCCATAGAACTCTTGCCACAGATGACCAGTCACTTCGGTCCAGATTTGTCCCCAAACAACAAACGATACAAAGGGAACGGCGTTGATGCACCAGGCGCAAGCATACTGTGCTAACGACTCGACGCTGAAGTCCTTTGGCGGTTCTGGCGCTGCAATAGGCGAAGAAGGCGATCCCGGGACGAAGAAGCTCAGTGACGGGAACCATCTGCTGGATGGTATGATGTCTAGGCGTTGGAGAAACACGTAAAGCTGGAGGTGTACTCGGATGTAGGATAGACCCATGTTTAACCACCTATTCTTCCTTGGGAAGGGATAGAGGTAGTAAGTAGCCATTTTGAAGACGTGGCCGCCCAGAAAGGTTGGTAAACCAGTACCGAGGGCACTTGCGAGCGAGCGATTGCCGATTTCATTCTGGAGCAGTTCGAAGAATGAAATGTCTGCATAGCGCTTATACAGAAGAATGCGCAGTCGCATACCGTTGATGCCCCAAACTCCTCCAATCTCCAGTGCTCGCCCAAAGCGAAGGAGCCGAGTGCCCACGGCATCTTCATAGTTGAAGTATCGTCGCACTGAATCAACCTCTGCCGCGGAGGGTGTGTTGTCAGGCTCCGCGACTCCTATGACCTGCATGACCTCGTTATGAGATCGGACCATGTCCCGGTTCATACGCTTGGTTTCGGGGTTGATCGGTCGGCCACGGTTGTCGTATTGTTGCTCTGGCGCTCGAGGATCGGCTTCGCCTTCACCCTCGACAACATCGTCGTATGGCGACCGGCCCTGCGTAAACCTATCAGCTGCGGTAGCCCTGGTGGGTTGCGGAGGTGCTTACCAAGGCTTGAGCCGTCAACGGGCCTTGTCTCGTCATCTTGGGGCACAGATGCGCTCCAACATATGTGCGACAATGTGGTTGACTTGAGTTGGTCGTCTCACTGTCGCTGCTTCAAAGTCCCAGGTAAGACCGTTGCTGTCAACCTGAGGGCAAAGAGTGGCCCTGTGGCTGATATTCAGATGTCAGCAGCAATGGATGCTTTTGAGAGAATGCGCCGGGATGTGCTTCAGTGAAGCAGCTGTCGCTGTTGCTGTCGAATGGTGCCGGGGGTAGCTCCTGGAGCACAAAGTGGGCTCGGATTAGATAACACTATCGATAAGCGCATCCCGCCGACAGAAAGAAAAATTTCTGGACTTTTCGCCCGGGAAATGCTTATCGCGATTGATCGTGTTGCTTCTACAACCAACATCATGGCGAGCAAACAACCGTTCAAGACCACTTTCGAACCGGAAAAGGTCATTCGGCCTATCTTCACCGGAGGCTCTGTTGCATTGGACAATGGCAACAAGATTTTGGCCACGCCCCTTGGGGAGGACGTGATCTTGACCAACCCCTTTAACGGAAAGCATCTTGCAAAGATCGAAGGCGTATGCGCCCCAGACCGTCCTCAATTGACGCGATGCTGACCATGCGCTCCTAGGATGGCGAACAAATCTCGACTTTGACCTGTACGTATGCATACCAGCATCATTGAGCAACCTCTAACGCTGAATCTAGTGACGCCCTCTGGGTCTCACCTCATCATTTGCTCCCGATCTTTGTCCATGAAGATCTACGCTCTGAAGACCACCGAAGACGGAACGATCGAAGCGAAGTTGACTAGATCCCTCAAGCCACACGGTACCCCTGTTGTCGTTCTCGCTGTCGACCGAACCAGCACCCTTCTTGCGACCGGAGGAACGGATGGAGCGATTAAGGTCTGGGACATTGTTGGAGGCTACGTTACCCACACCTTCCGCGGACCAAGTGTTCTCGTGTCCGCTCTTCACTTCTTCGAGGTTGCGGCTCGTTCGAACGATCTTGAAGTCGAGAAGGTTGGCAAAAAGGGAAAGAAGTCGAAGCAGGTCGAGGAGCAGGACGATCACTCTACGACGACAAATTGGCGGTTGGTGTCCGGTAGCCAGGATGGAAAGGTTCGCGTCTGGGATCTCCACAAACGCGCCGCTGTTGCGAACCTCGACTCCCACGTCTCCAACGTCCAAGGCCTGGACTACTCCCCCGAACAGAACGCCATCGTATCGGCAGGCAGAGACAAGACGATCATCTGGTGGGATGCGAGGTCTTGGAAGATCCGGAAGATCGTGCCTTGCCTGGAGCTGATTGAGGCTGTTGGTTTCGTTGACGGCGGTCGTCTGACCTATTCCGCGGGCGCCAAGGGCTGCCTCCGTATTTGGGATACTGACACCGGACGCGAGTTGACAAAGGAACAGCCTGCGAAGGCTGAGGCGGAGGGCATCGTGAGCGCTGTCTCTCACCCGGAGCTTCCTTTTGTGCTGTGCGTACAAGTGGACCATACGCTCGCACTCTACAAGGTGCCCGAGAAGGATGATGTTGAGGGCACCCTGCTCGAACCCTTCAGGCGTATTTCCGGCACCCACGACTCGATCATCGATCTCACTTATCTGCTCCCCGACCGCTCGCTCCTCGCCCTCGCTACAAATGCCGAAGACATCCGCATTGTCTCCGTCAAGGACTCCGACGCCAACGCTACCACAGAAAACTCCACATATTTTGGTCAAGATCTGGCTTTACTCAAGGGACACGATGACATTATTGTTTCCTTGGACGTTGACTGGTCCGGATACTGGGTTGCAACGGGTGCGAAGGACAACACTGCTCGTCTCTGGCGCATCGACCCCGAGAACAACTCTTTCACATGTTATGCTACCTTCACGGGTCACACCGAGTCAATTGGCGCCGTTGCTCTGCCCAAGCAGCCCCCACAGGAGTCATCAGCACAGTTCAAGGATCCCCTGAGCCATCCCCCGCCATTCCTCTTGACTGGCTCTCAAGATCAGACTGTGAAGAAGTGGGATATTCCGAGGGAAGCTCAGCAAGGGAAGAAGGGCGGCCGTGCTGTCTTCACCAGAAAGGCGCACGACAAGGATATCAACGCCATGGATGTCCATCCTTCCGGTCAACTCTTTGCCTCTTCATCTCAAGACAAGATGGTCAAGATTTGGTCGGTAGCTGAGGGTGAAGTCCAGGGTATTCTGCGCGGCCACCGCAGAGGTGTGTGGTCCATCAAGTTTGCTCCTGCCCAGTGCCCCGCCATTCAGGGAGACGAGGGCCAGGTTGCTGGTAAGGGTGTTGTCTTGACGGGTAGTGCCGACAAGACGGTGAAGCTCTGGAGTTTGACCAACTACACCTGTATCAGGACATTTGAGGGTCATTCCAACAGTGTTTTGAAGGTTGTCTGGCTGAACATGCCGAAGCCCGAGGGCAAGGGCAAGAAGCAGCTCCAGTTCGCCAGTGCGGGTAGCGACGGTCTGGTCAAGGTCTGGGATGCCAACTCAGGCGAAGCCGAGGCAACGCTTGACAATCACGAGGACCGTATCTGGGCCTTGGCCGTCAACTCCAGTGATAACACGATTGTTTCCGGTGACGGTGACTCCATCGTCACTTTCTGGAAGGACACCACTGCTGAGTCCCAGGCCGCCGCTACAGAAGCCGCTCAGAAGCTGGTCGAGCAGGAGCAGGAGCTCGAGAACCACATCCATGCCGGTTCTTACCGTGATGCTATCGTTCTTGCCCTCCAGCTGAACCACCCCGGCCGCCTGCTGAGCCTGTTCACCTCGGTCGTGAACTCTGCCACACCCGAGCAGGGCAGTCTCTGTGGCCTGAAGGCGGTCGATAAGGTCCTTGCTACGCTCTCCGACGAGCAGATCTTTACCCTTCTCCTGAGGTTGCGTGACTGGAACACGAACGCCAGGACAGCTGCTGTTGCTCAGCGTATCCTATGGGCTTTGGTGCGCAGCTACCCTGCGTCCAAGTTCTCTAACCTGTCAGTAAAGGGGGCTCGCGGACAGAAGAGCTTGAAGGAGGTGCTTAACGCCCTCAAGGTATACACGGAGCGACACTACAGGAGGATGGACGAGCTTGTGGACGAGAGTTATCTGGTGGAATATACCCTGCGGGAGATGGACAGTCTCGCGCCCGCGATAGATGATGCTGCCATGGAGGACGTTATGGATATAGAGAGAGATACCATTATGGCATCCTGATCAGGTGTAGTAATATTGGGAATTTGAATTTTAGACTCACCTTCGATTGGTACATGTGTGCATGAATGAACAGGTTTGACGGGAATTGGGACTGTGCTTCACAGCCTTCACTAATTCGTTACAGAAACTCTTTACTAATTCTCCGGTCAACGTCGAATGATATCTTCACCCGACACCTTCGAGTGCTATATCTACAAGGGCTTCCCTTCGAAGTTTTTGTTGAATTGTATGGGCCTTGCCAGATGATCTCTTCATATGATAATCGGCAGTATTGAATCTACATAGTCGTCGGGCTAATATGGTATGCCTGCTGAAAATGAAACTGATGCAATTGCTTTCACCCAAATCTTCGCTAACCGAGTATCCGTGAGTGCATACCAGCCAGCATATGCCCATCTCAAAAGAAGTTCTAATAAATTTCAGAAGGACATGTGTGAGAGCTAGGAATCCGAGAACAAGGATAGTATTTCCAGATAACGAGGTTTACCCATAGTAGCCTCTTTGAAATCTGATCTTGCTAGCCTTACATGCTATGTCACCAATTCGGGCCCACTCTCTTGGCTTCTAATATACGTAGGCGCACCTTTTCCCTCTCTTCAAAACGACTCATCTTATAGTACAGATCAGCGAGATCTTCGAGGCTAATTATGAAATCAGGATGGGTTTCTCCAAGTATCCTACTTTCAGCTTCTACGATCTCCAATAATAGTTGCTCGGCCTGGTCGTAATTTCCCTGTTTCTCATATATTCTTGAAAGTGTCGCTATGCGGATGAGAGTGGTAGGGTGTTCCTCGCCCCTTATTCTTTTCGTGAGCTCTACAATTCTCGTGCATAGCTCTTCCGCCTCTCTCAATCGACCAGTATGCTGGTACACGTACACAACTTCTTCGGCAGCCCGTAGCGTACTAGGGTGCTTTTCCCCCAGTGTCTCCTTTCTTTTTGTCCAAACCTCTAAGCAAAGCGGCTCTGCCTCCTCATAGCGTCCCATACGATTAAGAGCAAGCGCTGTCATCCTTTTGTCTGTCAAAATTACATCTGTGTCTTCTGGCCGCACTCTTTGGTCAACTTCTAACACCTTGAATGCTACTTTAAGCGCTTCTTCCCGCAGATCCATGTTGAGATATAGGTTTGTCAAACAGCATATAGCATTTGTCGTGTCTTTGTCCTCTGGTCCATAAAGTTTGATGTGCAAGTCCACAGAACGGAGATGAAATAACTTCGATGTTTGGTATTGCCCTCGAACTCGAAAGCATTCGGCAACTTCAAGTGAAAGCCAGGCGTCCTCTTTAAGTGGATACTTTCTAACGGCTTCTGCGCATTCCAAAACAGCGAGTGCATGCGGGAGTAGTTGGAGAAATACCACTTGGTTCTCGTGTTTTCCCATTGGAAACGCGTAGTACACCATTCTGAGAGCCTTTGCCGCAAATTCAGACATTGCGCTCCTGTCAGCAAGTTGTTTTCGAGTGACAAGTTGCACCAGTCTATGCATGTCGAACAAGTCGTCACCAGCCTTGGAGATGTAGGAAAACGCCTGGAGAATCCCTAGAGCTTGGGTGACTTCCAAATCAGTATCGATTTGAAAATCGTTTTCGGAATCTCCAGCCAGCCGTAGCGTTTCATGGCAGTAGTCCCAGACAAATTGCTTTGGAATACCCTGACGGTCAAAGGAGCTCATCAAATACAACACGTTGCTTGCCATAGGTTTCTGTCGTTCAATGTGCTCAAAAGAGATGGCCCAGGTGGCTGTCAATGCATGCGGTGTCTCGGTGTCTCGTCCGACAGCCTCAAATGGCTCGCTAAGGCGGTCGACCATACTGGAGTCGCTCTTGTCCAGGAGCCCGACATATGCCTTGATAGATGTAGAGTTCTCAAGAATAAAAGATGCTGCCTGCGCAAGAGCTAGGGGTAGATGTTCAAGACGTGATGATAGAAGCGACGCTTCTGCAGGCGCCACATTCTCATCTTCAAGCAGTGTGCGCAGCAGCTGGGTAGTTTCTGCCTCGGTCATCCTTTGCACCTCGATGGGCGGCTTTCCACGGGTAAGCTTAAGCCCTGCCTGCTTGTTCCTTGTGGTGATCAGGACCGATCCATGGGAACATTCGGGTATAGAATGTCCTAAGCTGGTTGTTCGACGACCGGCTTGAGCGGTGAGGTTTGTGGGGAAGAAGACCTCCGTATCGTCGGCATTGTCAATTACGAGGAGCCATTGACCTCGCCGCTTGTCCTCTAGCCATCTCTTGACGAGTGATAAGATGTCGACCTCTTTGTCCTCGTGCCCAGGAATTTCGCATTCCCGAGCAATATCGCTGAACGCCTTCTGGAATCGTTCGACATTACTCGCATGGATCCAAAAGACGGAAGCATCTGGATATCTCTCTTTGAACCAATAACAGTAGGCCAAAGCGATTTGTGTTTTTCTGCAGCACTTAGCACGTAGATATGAAGATGAGCGGGAGGGTTGTATACCCGACTCCACCGAGGCCATGCAGAGCCACTCTGGAGCGCGGCTTGCTGCCAGGGCGATGGTAAGTATCGCTGTGACCAAAAAGATCTTTCACCCGCTCGAGGATTTCTGAGCGGCCAACAAAATCCGGATTCTCATTGTAGGGGACAATGACTATCAATCGATCAGTGGAATGTCCTATAGAGTCACGCAGCTACTCACATGCTGGAGGTGGCGCCTCTATGGTATGAGAGACATATGTCGTTGCTGTTGATGCTGTTGGTGCTGTAGCGAAGTACATGTTGAGAACGGCCTTGGTTGCGGAAGCAGCCGCCACAGCTGCAAAGCCCTGCCAGTTTTTGTTCTTGTGACTGTCGGCATAGTCGCAGACTGACTTCACAATTATGCAGGGGATCTCGTCCCATACGCCGGCGCCTTCCATCTCGAACGCAATTATACCGTGCTGCTGCGCCATCATGTCTCGATGTTCTGCGGACTTCATAACGGTATCTCCCAAGCCCACAGTACCGACAAATACTTGTGGTGGTGATTTGAATATGTCTGAGGTCGTCTCTGATCCGCGCTCCCGTTGGTTTTGGCCGCTGAGACGCCTTCTGAGCACGTGGTATTCCGGATCACACTGCAAAACCGCACAGGACGTTTTGATTGCTTCATCGCAAACAGTATCCTCGCTGCAACTGCAGTCTGGATTGTGCTGGTGTCTGTGAGGATAGTCCGCCCGGAAGAGGACATCTGTCTCGGTGCCAGGATGGAGGTACTTCGACCAATAGCCATTTTCTACGGTCTTCCGCTGGATTTGTTCCAACATGCTAGGAACTTGACTGCGTAGTTCGTCGCGCCCAAAATCCGTCTTCAGATGATTAAGGAATGACCGAATTTCCTTAACGGGCATCCCTAATACATCACTAGCGGTGTTTTTGTGGGCGAATTTGGAGGGATATTGCCGGCCGTAGTCGTACTGAACGACGTTCTCGCTGATGATCACATGTCCAAGTAGAATCTCGACATCGTGGCTCGGATTGGGCACTCCGCCGCAAATACCGCAAAGAAGCGCCAAGTTTCGTCGAAAGCCAGCGCAACGGCATCAAATTCGATGGGAAGGGCACATATTAGCGCCACATTGAAGTCTTCACGGCGACTTGGCCGCAGGCTCGCCATTTTCGATCGTCGTCAGTTGCTTCAAGATGCCATGAATCCGCCGTATGCTGCGAATGAAGAAGAGCGAAATATTCTCGAGAGATGCCCGGGGGGAGAGAACAAGCAGGCTCCGGAATGAGGGAGCCTATTATATTCCCCCGCTCACTATAGATCAGGCTGCGCTCCTGCTGCATCTCGAACCTCTCCATGTTATTGGACCAGCGACCACAACGCCCGCATGCGCCACTCAGCTGCATGACCTACTGGCATCACTTGCTCCTCTTCCAGCCCAAGTCGACCGCATGGACGTGGAAACGAATCTCTGACGTGATGCCATTGCTAGGCCATATTCTGACAAGGAGGTGTCAATTTGAGTTGAGTGAGATCTTGATGATATGGGAAGAAAAGTTCCCTTGCCCCCTGACACATCAAGGTAGGGAACACGGAAGCTCTGGGCGTGGTTGCAAAAGTGGGGCGTGAACATATCACCCGAGAGACGGGCGACTTTTTCGAGCCTGGAAAGAATGGGGGCGCATCGTTGACCCATCCGCGCCTTGTCCCAGCGTCACATACACTGCCTGCGAAAACTGCCAACCACAGTCCCGACACCCTCATATACCCCCACAAAGCAGCATGTCTTACAGGAAACGTCACGCAGAAGAGGCTCTCGACGAGATCGCAGGCATTGCCTCGCCTGCCTCGAAACGCTCGAGAACAGTCGACTCCCTAGTATCCAACGACTCAATCGAGCAAAACGGGCACGTCGCAGAGAGGGAGGAGGCAGCAACACCGACAGACGGCAATGCAGAGTCGGAAAGGAGGCAAGATGATGGTGACGATGAAAGCGACCTGGACGACGAGGCACCCATACAAGCCCCCATCCGCCAATCCGCCCCGACAGACGGCTACGACGACCTCTACCTCGACACGATAGACCGTAACGTTCTCGACTTCGACTTCGAGAAGCTCTGCTCCGTCAGCTTATCCAATATCAACGTCTACGCCTGCCTCGTATGCGGCCGTTACTACCAGGGCCGCGGGCCCAAGTCGCACGCCTACTTCCACGCCCTCGACGAGAACCACCACGTCTTCATCAACATGCAGACGCAAAAGGTCTACGTCCTGCCCGAGGGCTACGAAGTCAAGTCCAAGTCGCTCGACGACATCAAGTTCGTCTCGGACCCGCGATATACCAAGCAGGAAGTCGCCGCGCTCGACCGCACGCCGCTGCGCGCGTCCTTCACGCTGGCCGGCAAGGAATACGCACCTGGGTTCGTGGGCATGAACAACCTGAAGGAGAACGACTACCTCAACGTCATCGTGCAAGCGCTATCACACGTCGCGCCGTTGCGCAACTTTTGTTTGCTGGAAGACCTGTCATCACGCTCTGAGCTGGCGAAGCGCTTTGGAATCCTCGTACGCAAGATCTGGAACCCGCGCGCGTTCAAGGCCCATGTCTCCCCTCACGAGCTGCTCCAAGAGATCTCCCTCCTCTCGAGCAAGCGCTTTACTTTGACAGCACAATCAGACCCCGTCGAGTTCCTCTCATGGTTCCTCAACAACCTGCACCTCGGACTTGGCGGCTCCAAGACCAAGCCAGGCAGCTCCGTTGTGCAGCGCATTTTCCAAGGCAAGCTCAAGGTCGAGTCGCAAGCCATCACCGCGCGCGCCGACGCCGGTGACCGACTGCGCTTCGAGGACGCGGCAGTGTCAGTAACATCAACACGCTTCATGTTCCTGACCCTCGACCTCCCCGCCGCGCCTCTCTTCCAGGACGAATTGGAAAAGAACATCATCCCCCAGGTCCCTCTCACCACCATCCTCTCAAAATACGACGGCATCCAGGCCCAGGAGCACCTGGCCCAACGCAAGCGGTACCGCCTCCTTCACCCCTTACCACCCTACCTCGTCTTCCACGTCAAGCGCTTCAGCCAGAACAAGTTCGTCTCGGAGCGCAACCCGACCATCGTCACCTTCGACCCCAACGGCCTCGACGTCAGCCCGTACGTCGAGCCGAACCCAGGCGAGTGGCCGCCCGGCGAGCCCATCATCTACGACCTTGTCGCCAACGTCGTGCACGAGGCCGTCCGCGCGAAGGAGGACGTCGCGGACAGCGGGGAGGAGCGCAAGACGTGGAAGGTGCAGCTGCGGGATAAGGGCCGCGACGAGTGGGTTTCTTGCCAGGATCTGTTTGTGGAGAAGGTGCAGAGTGAGCTGTTGTACCTCGGCGAGACGTATCTGCAGGTCTGGGAGAGGAGGCGGACGCCAAAGGGCAAGGGCAGAGCGTAGGATTCCATACTAGATTGTGTATGAAGTTAAAATGAAGAAACAACGCGGAAGAGAGAGTACGCGTTTTTAGAATCTGTACTTTTTCCGCAGCGCAAGGAGCTTGGAGTGTATCGTTAGTAGGTATGTTGCTGTGACACTTGAACATTCACAGCAAAACGGCGAGTGCCAAAAATCGTTTGACGCTCATTTCGTAGTCATTGAAACTATCCGGTCCAGGCCCTTCCGAACCGCGCAGCCAGCTCATGCCGGTGCTTGCGCCCGAGACAGCAGTAGTGTACACCTCCCAAAGATGATAAGATGGGTTTAGCCAATCCCCCAAATAACCGCTAGTGTGCAATCCATAAAACAACGTGACCGCTAAACGTTGACCGCTGCCCATTTTTTGCGCCCCTTGAATCGTATCGTTTCCCCCGTCTCCGAGGTTCGACAATAAACTCGAGAAGCACTTTCGTTCCCCCCTAGCCTGCTATGTTGGATAAAAAAAGAACAGCAGTCATCATGCCCTCTTTCGACCTGTCCTCGCTTTCCCTTCGTCTCCTCATCCCTTCTTCTCCACTCGGTATCCCTATCCCAACAAGGTGTTGTTTTCGTCGGACTTTCGACCCGAATGCTATGAAGACCCGGAAAACGGAATCTGATAGTGTACAAATAAACATCAAAGATGGCTTGGAAAAAAAATGCAAGAAAGGATTTGAACTCGTGCCGGCGTTTCCCCCAGCATGATGCCCGTTGGAGAGGGTTGAGAGGGCATGTGTCGGGGTTCTTGGGAGGTGTGTGTTGGTGGCTCAGGAAGTGGGCTGCTTCTGCTCTTCGTTGGACTGCTTCATGGTGTTGGATCGCTTGTCGTGCTGCTTCTCGCGGCGCGACTCCTCGATGGCTGCCCTGTGCTGGATGCTCTCGTCGTGGGACTTGAACTCGAAAATCGTGTTGGGAGGGCACTTGAGGTAGCTCTTCCACGTCTCACTGTTATCATGTTAGTGACCATCATTCAGCGGGGCCGACGCAGGTCCACTTACCGAATTCTCAGCACACGTCCACCGGTCGAGCGCGTCCAGATGCTGATGATGTCCTCGCCGTTGCGGACGCTAACCACACCTCCACAAATCTCGTCACTGCAGTCGGTGAAAGCCTCGCCAAGCAGCGCAAACACGGTGTCCTCCCAGTACCGGTCAACGATGCCCTTCTTCAAGCGCAGCACCCACTTGCCACCGCTCCTGTTCTCGTCATCCTCCCAGATGGGACGGACACCCCTCTTGAAAAAGTGGTATTCCCAGCCCACCGACAGCTCCGAAGGTCGCTTGAGGTGCGGATAGCCAACCCAGAACTCCTCCACGCTGTTACAGTGGATCATGGGAGTCAGTGACTTGGCGTACTCCTGGTACGGCTGGCCCTTTGGCTGGGGCGGCCGACACCACGTCACCCACTCGTACTTGAGCTGATGGAAGCGAAGGGTCTCAGATGATGTCCGAGTCGAGGCTGGTTGCGAGCCCACCGCCTTCTTCCCCGCCGCATTCTCGGCGATGGAGGCCATGGACGGCTTACCCAAGGGATCATGCGACGACGCGCCGACAGCCTTGGCGCCAATCTTGCCCATAGCCATGTCGAAAGGGTTGCCGGGGGATTTCGGCGTCTTCGCAGACCCGAAGGAAGCGAAAGCGCCGGAGCCCAGGCCGAAGGCGTTGGAGGCAGTCGGAGAAGCCATGCCGCCGGGGGTCGTTACGCTGTTGAAGGGATTTGATTTGCCGCCGTGTGAGGACGAGTCGCCGCCGAATCGTTTGGCGAAGGAGCCGTTACGGTTGGCGTCACCGCCCGGTGCGGGACTGCCATTGCCCGATGTCGAGAGGGAAAGCTTGCCTGAGCTGCACGCGGGTCGCAATGTCAGCGATCTGGAGTATGCACAGCGCAGCGACCGGGGTGGCATCAAAATAGAAAGTGCATATCGAGGTCGACCGTGAAGGGGGAAAAAAGAGGCAACTGCACTAGTACCGTGTACTTACTTTGTGCGGCGGGTCCATAGGTTGTTATCCATGGAGACTGCTTTCGAAGACTTTTCTAGATGAAAAACACTTCTATCGGAAATTCGATCCCTCAAAAACTTCAAGGGCGGCGGCACCTCGGTTTACAATTCTGGTCGCAGTTGTGGCGGCTGGGACAGACGGATGAAAATAGGATGCGATGGTGGTCGGGATGGGCGGCGGCGGCGGGCGGGCGAGCGGGCGGGTGGTTGAGAGGAGGGCCTGCAGGGGCAGTTTCGCGGCGGGAGGACAGCACTGGAGACTCGAAGGTGGGAGAGAAACGAGCGAGCTTCGATTGGAAAGAGGCCGGGTCAGTGTAGGTAGGGTAGGTAGGTAGTATTCGAGGCAGAGGCGGAGCAAAGATGGATGACGGGGTGTTTGTTGGTATCTCGTGCAGGTGTAGTATTCTGGGGGTATTACAGACGGTGGAGGAAAATGCGAGATCGGTAAGGTGTGTGTTTTGGAGCGATGTTTGTGAGACGAAGAGGAGGGCGAATTATCAACTGATGGAGAACAATGAACAGCTTGAAGAGAAAAAAAAATCATAATGGGGCATCAGTGTCCATCCTTTCTTGACCTTAGTCGTCACCTTGCTATCGATGGCGGATAGAGCGATAGCGCCTCGCTTGGCTCACCCCTGATGACTCCACCACTGGCCTTTGGGCCAATCAGGAGTCGCGATGGAGGAGGCGGGCAAGCTGGAACGGCGCACCACAGTGAGGTCACAGCGAGTCCCGTCCCCTGGGGCCCGGGGCTGGAGACGCCCATGCCGCCCGCCAACCATTGCGTTGGGCGCGACAGCACAGCTTTTTGACCTGGAAGCCCGACGGGTCTTGGTCTTCTCAGGGTGCCTTAAGGTAGGTGCAGTCTGCTGTCTGCTGTCTATTTTTCGCCATCTGCATTTATCGGATTGGCGTCCGGCGCTGTCCTCCTATGCGCATACTTTTTACCTAACACGAGCTTGGAGCTTCCCCGTCCTGCTGTTGGCATTATGTAGTGGGTGCTGCTGCCGCAGTCAATCCACACCGTCCATTACGTGCAGTTACTCACTTATCTGTCTCTTTCCAATGGAAAAGGTACTCCGTCGGCACATGGGAGGTATCCATCAGACCATTCGGCTCGTCGTTATGCGGCCAAAGTGTCAGATGCGTCTGCAACAGCACTTGAGATGGCCCCAAGTCGTTGTCCTGTCTGTCAGAGGCCAGGTCCAACGGTCGGATGGGGACTCGAGATGCATGGCCTGAAACACATGCCACCACCACGAAAAGCTACCTAGCAGGGTCGAATGCCTTCCCAGAGTCATGACATGCTGCATACAGCCCATGCCTGAAGAGAGCGCGAGCATCGGCGCCGGAGGCTGACAGATCAGGGACACTAACCTCAAGCTTTCTCGAGGCTGGGCGCAGCGGCAGGTGCTTTGCGGATATTTTCAGTGTCTAAGCACACGCCAGCCAGCCAGCCCTAGAATAGAAGAAGTCATTGCGACAGGCGTGCGTCCGTTGCGTTCCTTACCTTAAACCGAGCCACGGTGACCTCGGCTGCCCGGTTCATCCCACCTCGACGTGGCTACCGCTTTCTCGAACGCCATATTCAATGCAATAAGATCACCGTCTGCCTGATGGATAACGGCGAACATGGTGCAACGCGAAACATCAGTGAAGAAAGCCACCAGATAGAGGGGAGGGCAGGTACTTGACCACTTCGCGCCCACGTGGTGTGCCTGGGAAAAACGTCGTCTGGTTGGCTTACCCCGCCATTTACTGGATCCACACCCCTGGGCAGCAACTGTGCACAGTGCATCCACGTCCTGGTCCCTCCATCCCCGGCGCGTCATCCAAAGAAAAGAAAGCCCAGGTCCACGACACGCCAGACCGCGCTTACCTCACCACCGCAATTCGCGACACCTCTGATCGGCATCCCAACGGTCCAACGTCGACCTCACCGAGCCCACCGCCCCTCTCCGCCGCTGTCTCTCGGTCATGCTCCCGAATTAGCCATCCCGATTGTCTTTTCGGGTCCCCTGGCTTGAACCGCGTTGCCTCGTGACCATGGAAAAGTTCCTTCGGGAATGGAGGCAGGATGCCCTAAACAAAGCCCAATACGACTCCGCCATCTTTATCGGCGACAAGTTGCTGGCCCTGACCAGTACGTTAGCCCTTAGCTCTTGATTCAATGTCTTCCATGCGAGCTTTTCTGACTCTTTTCTACCACCAGATGACGAGAAGGACGCCTTTTGGTTGGCCCAAGTACACTTCGCAACTGGCAATTACACCCGTGCGCAGACCTTTCTCGCCAAACAAGACCTTGTTTCCCGCAACGTCTCCTGTCGATACCTAGCTGCACACTGCTTAGTCAAGCAATCGAGGTTCGAGGAGGCATTGTCTGTACTCGGCGACCGAAACCCAACCCATCTCATCTCAAATGCGAGTAACAAGCGAAAGGCACAGAACACGGCCCCCTTGGGCAGGGCCATAGGGGCTCATGCGAAGGGCAGCTCCAGAGACAGACAGCTTCGCGAAGACGCAGAGGAAGAGGCCACAAACCGGAAATATGAAGCCGCCATGTGCTATCTCCGAGGCATTTGTTACGCCAAGCAAAACGCCTTCGACCGGGCAAAGGAGTGCTACAAGGATGCGGTCAAGATAGACGTTCAGTGCTTTGAGGCCTTCCAGCAGCTCATGAACAACTCTCTACTGTCTCCTGACGAGGAGTGGCAGTTCCTCGAGTCACTCGACTTCGATTCCATCAGCGTCTCTGGCGATGTATCTTCGTCACAGGAAGCCGCAGAATTCACCAAGATGCTCTACACAACACGGCTGTCCAAATACAGAGAGCCTTCAGCGTTCACCGCGGCATGCGACACGCTGTCGACACACTACCACCTGGCTGATAACCCCGATCTACTGCTCGCCAAAGCCGACCTGCTCTTCACACAATGTCGTTACCGCGACGCTCTCGCCATCACCGACTCCATCCTGCAGGATGACAAGTACAACTTCAGCATCCACCCACTACACTTGGCTTGCTTATACCAACTCAAGATGAAGAATGCATTGTTTCTGATTTCCCACGACCTCGCAGATACCCACCCAGAAGAGCCTTGTTCCTGGCTGGCTGTGGGCATATACTATTTTTCTATTGACAAAATCGCCGAAGCCAGGCGATACTTCAGCAAAGCTAGCATGATGGACGCACATTTTGGACCGGCATGGATTGGTTTTGCTCACACCTTTGCGGCCGAGGGAGAGCATGATCAGGCCATCTCGGCATACTCAACAGCTGCGAGGTTGTTCATGGGTACTCATCTCCCACAAGTCTTCCTCGGCATGCAGAACCACGCTCTCAACAACATGACACTAGCAGAAGAGTTCCTAAAGACGGCGTATGGATTATGCAAGACGGATCCACTGTTGCTCAACGAGATGGGCATCGTCAAATACCACCAGGATAAGCCGCAGGAGGCTGTCCAATTCTTCAGAGCAGCCCTCAAGATCGCAGCAGAAATTGATTCTGACCCTCAAGCATGGCTGTCGCCGAGAACAAACTTAGCACATGCATATCGCCGTTTGCGCCTTTGGAAAGAGGCCCACGTGGAATTCGACGAGGTTCTACGCCAGGGAGGCAAGGACCCAGCCATTTTCTGTGCGAAGGGCCTCATCTACCTTGAAGAAGGCCGTCCTGAAAAGGCGGTCATCCCATTACACGAGGCGCTCGCCATCAACCCGCAAGACGGCATCGCTACGGAGCTACTTAGCAAGGCTCTAGAAGAAACGTCAATCATCGACGTGGCAGATGGCGACGACCTAGAAGCTTTCGAAAACGAACTGGATATAGTGAAGGCTGCAGGTCGAGATCGCCTAGCACAGCGAGCGGGCAGAAGACGCGATGCGAAAGGAAAAGCAAAGGTCAGCAGAGCGAGGGCGATGCTGATGGACGACGATGACGAAAAGGGCGAGAGCATGATGGAGATGACTGATGACGACTAAGCATCACCAAGCCACCATGATATTATTTGGATGGCGCGAAACCACACGGCGTCTGCTACAGGATTAGAGCATACATGGCGTATCATCAAATGAGCCCAAAGTGTGCAGTACAGATAACGCTTAATGACAAACTTAACAACTCAATGATCGCGATGCAAGTGAAAGGCGGGAGCTAGGTGATGCGGCTGTTGGCCCACGCGAATGCTAGTGCATTCTTCGTCGCTTAACCGATTAGTACAACTGCTCCGAATTGTCCGTCGAACGCCCGCTGTTCGCATTCGGAGTCGCTAGAGCGGATTTTCTGGGGTTAGGACGCGGACAAATAAGCCGGGCTGACATGTTCGGGGGAATTGGTGTCTCGACCGCCGACTGCACCCCGTGAGCTGAACGGCACCAACTGAATACGGAGAAGTCGGTCGGTGGCACGATAGGGATAACATATAAAGAGGCGGCCCGCCAAGCCATTCGGAGATTCAATGCTGGGTCTTGGACATTACAGTCTCTAATCGACATCGTAGCAAGCTCCCAACAATTGTACCAAAGTCCCATTTTCTAGAGATTCCCTTTCCTCCCACATCCTAATCCAGAACGTTTACGAAGGAATCATGTCCCGCTACTTCCCGCACACGGCTTACGCAGAAGACCAGCCCCTCTCCCACACGATTCTGGGCGTTCATGTCCTCACCCGGGGCTACACGACCGGCGCGGTAGTGGGTCTCGGCGCCGCGTCCGCCGGCAGCCTTTACTCCCGCTTCCGCCGCATTGCCAAACCCGTCACTACCACAGCATCGCCATCAGCAGCAGCAGCAGCAGCAGCGTCTACTACACTGCAGAAAGGTCTGCCGCGTCTCCTCCGCAAGACGGGCACAGCCTCCGCCGTCGGCCTGGGGCTCATGGGCCTGGCCCTCACAGGGAGGATGCAAGGGCGCGAAGACATTGAGTGGCGCGACCGCGCGTGGAGATTGCTCGAGAACCCTGGGCAGTTGGAGACGGACGACTGGACGTATGGAGGTGCCACGGCGGGGGTTGTCGCGCTTGGGGCGTGGCGGCTGGCGGGAGCCAAGGGAGTCGGCGGGCTGAGGGCGGCTGCTGGTGCGGCTGGGTTGGGAAGCGTCGCGGGTACGGTTGGATACATGGTCTGGAGGTACGGAATGCACGCTGGCAAGTTTCCGGAGTATGTTCCGGCTGAGAAGGTTGAGTTCGGGAGGGTATGAGGGAGCGTTGCGTTAGGGGAAAAGGGGGAGGTCAAAGAAAGTTTATGGAGAGGTCTACTACGCCGGTAAATTCTTTCTAGTCTAGAAAATAATACCCATCTTTCCTTCTGTTTAACAAAACATCTTACAACTTCTCCTTTCCGGCGATAACCTCCTCTACCTTTGCGAACTGATAGTAGAAGTCTAGGCTCTGGGGGTTCAAGAGGGTGCCGCTGGGCTTGACGTGTGAGCCAGACACGATCTGCTTCACGGGCAGTTCGACCTTTTTCAGGTTCACTGTTGTCTGTATGATCGTCAGTTTTCATCCCTTTTGCACTCGAACGTTGCATTCAGAACTTACCGGAATCTCAGGCGTCTCAAAGACGTATTTCGGCACATGCCTCTTGGTCAGCTCCCTCCTGATCGCATCCTTAACCTCGCCCACCAGCTTCTTATCAAACTTCTCCCCGGGACGCATCATCAAGAATAGCATGACGCTCTCATCGTCGTCGCTGGGCCTCCTCTGTCCGACACATAGACTGTCCACCACCTTGTTCGAGAAGTTGCGCTCGATGACGGCGTAAATCTCGGCGCTCCCGAAGCGAATGCCGCTTGGGTTCAGCACGCCATCTGCACGGCCAAGGAACGCGATGTTGCCCGTCTTGGGGTGCACCTGGCAGAAGTCTCCGTGGGCCCAGACGTGGTCGAAGCGGGCAAAGTAGGCGGAGTGGTATTTCGTCCCCGGTGGCGCGGAAGAGAAGCTAGAGGCGGACGAGGAGGGGGAGGTCGAGTCGCCCCAGAGGAAGCAGGGGATGTTGGGGAAGGCGGCTGTGGCGACGAGTTCGCCTGGCTCCCCGTGTGGGACGGGTTTGCCGGGACCGTTGGGAAGCTGGGCATCGAAGATCTCGATGGGGACGCCGAGCGATGGGCCTTGTGTGCCGCCGACGTAGACAGGTGTCAACGGGTTTTCCATGCCAAAGCAGCCAGCCTGTTTTCAGTTAAGATGGGAGCATATGGGTGTTCTGAATGCAGCTTACAATGTCGGTACCACCTGAGATGTTGGCCAGGTGGACATGCTTCGGGAAGCCGGCGTCGTAGAACCATTCAAATAACTGATTGGAAAGGACCATGCCTGTGCTCGTCACGATGCGCAGCGCGCTCAGGTCAGTGACCTCCCGCGGGCTTATTTTGTTCTTTGCAACTTCAAACATCCACCTGGGGCTGATTCCAAGCTTTGTCACGCGCTGCTCTCCGAGAATGCGAATGAATGATGTAAGATCCGGCACGAATGGCGAGCCGTCGTACATGACTACACGGGCACCGTTGAGAAGAGCCGCGACGTTGGCCAGGTACATGATCCAGCCGGTCGTGGTATACTGCAGACATACCGATTCCGAGGACATGGACTCGTGTAAGCGACCTTCCTTAACGATGTTAAGTATGACGCCGCCGACGGTGTGCACGATCGCCTTTGGGATACCTGTGGTACCCGAGGAGTAGTAAATGAGAAAGGGGGCGTGGAAGGGGATTCGGACGAATTCCGGGGGCTGAGAAGAGCTCGCGGACTTGAAGAAGTCGTCCCAAAGCTCCGTCTTGGGGATAGATGAGACGTCGTAAGGTTTGGCGAAACGGGGGATGGAAACGAGGCCGGCGAATGACGGGCATGACTTCATCCCGGAGACCGTCTCGGCCATCTTTTCCCGGAGATCGACGGTTTTGCCGTTGTATACCGTGGCATCGTCAAAGAAAATGAACTACGCGAAAGTCAGCAAAGAAACAGGCAGAGTGGGACGTAATCCTCACCTTGGGGTCAACCTGCGTGGTCCGCTGCAGGATGCCTTTGACACCCATATCCGTCGATGAACTGCTAAAGATGGCACCTAGCCAAGTAGCAGCCGTGAAGACCAGTAGCGTCTCGATAGAATTAGCTCCGACAAGAACAATTCGGTCGCCCTCCTTGACCCCTCGCGCCTTCATGGCAGCAGCCAGGCGCCCTGCATCCCTGCGGAAATCACCCCAGCTGAGATTTCGGACGTCGCCTGTGTTGCCCTCCCGGACCTCGGTCACGGCGTGCTTCTCATCTTCCTTGCCTACAACCCCGTGGTGGTCGGGCGCGTCTGTAGGGCCGCGGGAGTAGAGAATGTTCTCGGCCCAATTGAGACGAACGCCGGGAAACCACTTGGGAATGGCGTCTATGGGGAGAGACTCATCGACGACCGAAGTTGGTCGTCCCTCGTAGATGAGGTTGGCGTAGTTGAAGAGATGGCCGTAGAATTTGGAGCGGTGCGCGACCGTCCAGTTGTGAAGGTCATCGAACGTCTGTTACTGTGTAAGTCGAGAATACCACGATGCAAGGGGTCAGAGGCAAGGACCTTGAGCTTGAGTCCGAAATGGATGTTGACGGATTCCAAGAATTGGTACATCTCCGTACCCTTGGGGTCGGGGTGCTCCCAGAGCTTACGCGGTAACTCATCGGTGGCCATGACGTAGACTGGAGTTACCGAATGAGAAATGTGGCAGATTCACCAAGCTGGAGGGTTCAGCTGCCTTTGTGCTTTGAGATGAGAGACTGAGATGAAGGGGGCAGCTCTAATGAGACTGTGTGAGGAGAGGTTGGGAGTTTGGGGTAATAGCTGCTTTTTGGGTGACGGCGCTTCCCCAACGCCCTGTTGGCTTGCCTCGGTCTACACCACCGGGAGTGCGGGGTTGGCGGACGGCCCGAGCCAACGAGCCGAGAGGGGCTTTCCGGGCCGGTCGATCACGGCCCCATTCTGTCAGCCGGGGGCGAACGACAAAAGTTGAGTTGGATTTTTTGTTTAAGGAGTTATCATAGTTTCAATTCAAACACTGGTCATTGACTCCGTTTGCTTCATACGGAATGACATTACGAAGTGCCTGGGCAAACCGACTGCACATCGATCAATGTGGGATCAAGCCATTGGATGCCGGCGCGACATTCCAATGGACAAGTCTGAAGCTGCAATATCACGTTTGGACCATCATACTCATTTCTCAATGTGCGGTGTCGAAATAATTTTGGTTCATATGCGCAAATTCTCTTCGATGGCTACACCGAACAATTTGTCTCAGACGGTACAAAGAGGGTGGAATCGAAATTCACCACAACTCATGTGAGGCACTGCCTCAACCTGCAATCATCCGCAAATCTTCCAGCCTTGCCAACTATCAATAAAACCATCATGATGTGATCATACCGATTGCTGCGGACCCGAATGGACTCTTCTGTGTTGTCTAGATGATCCCAGGAAGCTGTCAGCGTTGGGAAATCTCCCACAACAGCCTGCACCTATTAATTGGATCTTACCTGATGAGTTTTGAGCTCTGAAAGGTCCAGGGATTCAGTTTCTTCTTTCCATATTGAATTCCTTCCACTCGTGATTATCGATGGGGTCTCGCGAGAAGTCGTTCTCGGCGTTGGGATCTTTGCTGTAAACGCGGAAGAGGGAGACCATGACCTGATCAATGCTTTGCGGCCGGCGGGAACTAATTGAGTCTTGGAAGAAGTAGATTCGCAAGCCGTGGACGGCACCTGTGGCATCGTTGTTGGTACCCATTGTAACATGCTCCAACACTTGGCTTTGGGCAGCCGTGACGGCACGCGGGGGTCCAAGGAACTCGACTGCCGTCCAGGCATCGTTGTGTCGCACCATGCACTTTTGACTCGGTGCAAAGAGATTGATGAGAGGTTGTATGTCTTCACTGTTGAAGTCGAACTGATTGCCCGGGATTCCGTGGTGAAGGTTGGCATAGATGGCGTCCTCATGGTATGTGGCAATGCCAGCACGGGTCGATCCAGTTGGGTGAGAACGCGGAGCTACAACGACTAGAGAAGTCGATTGTTCGGCTCCATGAGGAGCTGGGCGACTGCCTTGCTGAGGAGATGGATTCTCCGCAGGCTCAGCAGGAGGAAGGTTCTTGACGATCTCGACATCCATGACCTTACTCTGCACGGCGGTCCAGTCGGGCTTGCCGGCATCGACAGATGGCTCTGAGGTGCTGTCTCTCTCGGTGGGCATTGCGGGGGATATTTCGAGATATTCCGCAAGTTAGAATATCTAGATGGAGTTGTGTTGCGAGGAAGAATGTTTGGCGAGTTGAGAGGGCGTTGGCGGTTGGGAAGAAGATAAGGAAAGGCCGTACCTTAAGGCATCAAGAAGAGGGTGGGAAGGAGTTGAAAGTTGAGGTGAGAAGGGGGTAGCATACGGTCAAAAAGCCCGCGGCGTATACACGGCGGGAGGGAACCGACCGAATGGGAAAGTATCAAATGGCGAATGCAAACGGGCTCACCTCCCGCGTCAAGTACGGGCGTAGGCAGACGTCTCAACGGCCTGTTGCCTTGCAATTCAATCCGGAGTACAAACAATTTTCAAAGGCACCCCAAATACCTACGTCAATGCAATCTTTCCCATGAGATCTCCATACTGTTCCAAATGCACAGCAAAGGCGTTCGAGCTGCAGGCATGGTAACTTGCACTAAGCTCACACACAAGCAAATCACTACAAAGAGACAAACATATCCCCCTCCCATCCGTATTCCCTGTTGAGACGCCTGCCAATACGCCTGGCAAAAACAAACGGCAGCTTCGAACTCGGATGAGGCTCATGGAATTGGATGCTGGTCTCAACATCGAGCTTTGTTGGCGTAAACTTCCACGCCGATCCATACAGCTTCTCCATGTGAAACCCAACACTCTGCATGGCATGGAGGAACTCCGTCCAGGGAATCTCTCCAGGGGAAGAAGACGTCAAGTGGTTGAAGAACAGTGTGTTGAAGACTTTGAGAGCACGTTTGTCCACCTTGAATAGAGGTCTCTTCGCCGCCTGTGGTTGCTCCTGGTCTTGGACAGGGGTCGTCGCGGCAACCGGAACTGCTCCCTTCGTCTTCAGCTTGGTCTTTGGTCGAGGTGAGGGCTTTTCCTTCGTCGTGTCTTGCATCGACAAACCGCCAAACGGCGCAGCTAGACTTGGGTCTTGGCCCGCTGCGGCAGGCGCCTTCGCCTTGGCCGTCTCAACCCATTCTGGGGTCCTCTGAACGCTTCGTTGGAGAATGTTGCGCAGCCGAGATGAGATGCCGTCTCTTCCACACAAGCTCTGCTGGATATCGGCCCAGAAGCTATCGAGGGCACGCTCCGCCGCACGCATCTGATCAATGTTCTGTTTGTTTCTCTTCCTTTCCACAGGATACTTAAACTTGTCGCCGTCTGGAATGCCCATTCTTGCCGTCGCCAGGCTGATCTTCAAGTCGTTGATAGGTACCAAGCGACGTACAACTCGTGGAAGTCCCTGTCGATTTCTTTTTGGTTCTCGGCAATATCGCTTTCGAACGATGCTGCCCATGGTTGGAATAGATCCAGTTGTCTTTCGCACTCTGACAACACTGAAAGATCTGCAATTTGCGCTGCAACCCATCCGGAAATCATCTGTGCAGCAGCTCGGTCTTTGCTCGTGACTCGTTCCAGCTCGTCCAAGAGCGTAGGTAGCCCAGTCAGGAACAATTGCTTCTCATCGAAGAGAGTGTCGATAATCCAGAAAAGCTCCGCGACCGTTGCATCTTTGCTGCGATCACCAATTGATGTAACCTGGATGATCGTAGTCGTTGGGTCTGGCGGGGGCACACGACGGAACCAAGGACGCATTGGTGGTGATGCAGGCCATCCCATCTTCAAGTTGGAAATCGGGCCCGGTCGAAACATTTGTAGAAAGTGTTTCAACTTGCAGAATGCCATCGCGTAGTCGTGAGGAAGACTCTCATCGGGCTTGAAATTTCTGTTGCGATACTTTCGGTCTTTGAGATCGATGAGATGATCGATCTTCTCCGCCAAGGATCTGTACACCTCCACAGGAAACATGGCGCTCGTTATCATATTTCCAATGAGTCGCTGCCAAAAGACATCTGGGGCGTGAGCATGGATGGGATGTGGTTTGCCGTTGGTGTCCAGCATCATCTCTTGTCGGTGCTCCTTCCAATCTCTCACAGTGACGCTGAAATAATCGGGGGCTTCTCGCAGAGCCCAGATATGATCTTCGGCCTCAGCTAGCTTCGACTTGATGATGCTCTGGAGGCCAGCAATATCGAGACGGGCAGGAACTTGGTAAGGGCCTTCAAGCCGAGTGACTGCCAATGATGCAGCGATGGAGTCGTTGGAATTACCAGTCACTAAAGGTGGCTCAGGCGGGACGTCCATTGCTGGGTCTGTGAGCTCTTCGGGGGAGATGTCGTGAAGGATGCTCTTGCAGACATCCACGAGAAACCGGTAAAGCCGTGATTGGAATTCCAGGATCCAGAGACCTTCGCCCGGATGGACTGCTGTACGTCGAAAGTTCCAGGTGCTAGCATCAGGCTCATCGTCCCATGAAACAAGGGTGCCATAAGTTTGAGGGGTGCATCTTCCGAGGAACAGCATTGAGTACAAGTTGAGAAAACGGGGCATGTCCATGGTTCTGCTGACCTGCCCGAATCTAGACTCTTCGAAGTCGTTCATGGCGAACACATCAGGCGTGTTTCGGCCGCGAGAGTTGATCAGTAGAAGAAGGGGTTCGGTTTTGCTGAGGTCTTCCAAGTTGATATGCGGCCACAGACAGGCTTCACGAGCTTGCTCGCCAGACCTTTTTTTCCTGAAAGCAGCAAAGTCCGGCCTGTGGTACTCAGACATGCCGGGCCAAGCAGCCAGAAGGACACCTCGTCGTTTGGATTTGGACTTCTTTATCCACCGGTTCTGGATGGTTGCCTCGTGCCTCTCCACGATTTTCCGGAGCAGGTCCCATTGCTGCAAGACTTCTTCCGCCATCGGCGCAGCCAGTGCGCGTATCTCTGCGGGTGTGATGAGTTCGGCTTTGGGCAATGAACCAGGGCCCATGCCCAAAGATGCGGCAATATCTGAGAAGTCCTCCATTGTGATGCCGAGTTAGGTGAGAGTGAGAGATGAGTAGATGCGGACGAAAGAATGGGGAGGTGGGTCGTCTAGTTTTCAAGGTAGTAAAGCGGGGTGCGGGATCAGACAATGTGAGTTCACCATCCGACATATGGAGTGAACCTAACTGTCCTACAACTTCGGGGATACTTCAAGCCTCGGGAATGTTCAACATCCACGTGTGATTCGGTAGAATGAAGGCTCGAGCGTGGTTTTCACAAAAAATATTCCTCAACAGATTGCGAACTAAACAAGTTGGCAAGTAGAAATAGAAAAAGGAATGGTGTCTCATTAAATTGGGTCAATGATAGCTCAAAGGTCTTTTACCACATGCCACTTAATCCTTCCAGCTCAGCCAATGAGCAAAGTGAATTTGATGTAATCAGAATAACTGCAGCCTCATAGATGTTTGAGCTTAGCCATACCTGTCCGCTTGCCACAGAAAATGGTCTCGAGACGTCGGACAATGCTCTCCTCCGGTAAGTGCCCTCGGTGCCGGATATGAGTGGGTCCCCGTGGCTTGCCCCATATTTACCGCACGCTCGGCTTTGACCCGGGCACCCCGTAGCACTGCCGGGCGATCCTGTTCGTTGAGGTTACAACTATACCTGTGACCGCAGTGGTGACCCTCTAAACTCCCCGCATTTCGGCGGGTGCGTCAACATAGATCGTTCTACTCCGACGCTTTTTTGGCCCATATAGCCCGACTATCAATGGTTGAGTATCTCTTTACAGCAGTCATTTAGTATCATGGAATGCAGCACTTACATGGGCCAGTATCCATGATTTCCTCGATCACTAAGGTCCCTCCTGACCTCAGCGGCAAAAACCTGAACTTCTTCCTGCCGCCAGCCATGCACACGCGTCATGGGCGCCATTATCATGCCAGCTGTATTACTTGCAAGATTTTCACGAGACCACGAGCCGAGTTCTTTCAAGTAAGGGTCCCGGGGCCACGTATTGAGGGGCCAGATGAAGCGGCGGTCGGTCACTTCCACGAAGCCAGCCTCTGTTAAGAGGGATGTCAGAGTATCTAGCGGAATGAAGGGACATCCGAAGACTTCCAAGGCGGATGCGACGTAGGAGAGGCTTTTGTAGAATGCACCGCGCTCGCATGTGCCATCGGCGCTGAAGATGTTGGATTCGGCCTCCTGGAGCTCGACGTAACCTCCTGGCTTGAGATTCCTAAGCACGAATGAGAAGAAAGCCCCAGACTTGGGGGATCAGAGCGCTCACTCAAAGCACTTCTTCAGAAGTTCAGGCCAATTTCGAACGCTACCTGACATTCCCCTGATGTGGATGTAGTCGAACGGTCTGGAATAGATCCATTCATTGTCCAAGTCGTCCACCTCAAAGTAGACGTTTGGCGGTACACTATTCACTAAGTCAATTTCCTATAGGTTTTAATACGTATGCGTGAATTGGAGCTCACAACTCGGGCTGGGTTGCCGAAAGGTCGAATCCCAAGACCTCCGCGTCTGGGTGCTCATCCCCAAAGTCGATCGACCAGATCCCAGTGCCGGTTCCGACGTCAAGCACGCGGCCCTTCCAGTCAGGATCATTTGGGGGAGCATATCCCAACCTGTTATCGAATGTGAGAAGAAACAGGTGGTGTTGAAGGTCCAATCTGTTCGACTCATCCTCATCGTTGGGTCCAAAGTATTCTGCCAATACATTTCAGTATTTCACTTTCAAGGCTCATGTTTCCTCTAGAAAACAAGTATTTAACATTTGCTTACTGCCTTCTTTATACCTGTGGTAAGTTCTCCCATTTTCGACTCGATAGTCTATGATTGAACTACGGAGACTTGTGGTTGCAGAGAAGTCATCCTGGAAAGGGAATGTGTTAGTAAACCTCTGAAAAGCAAACCGTTGACTATGGCGGCGTTCATGACCACATACCTGTCCGAGGGACGAATCCGTGTCACCCTATTTTGAACATTAGCTTTTCTCCGCCATATCCGAGTCAAAACTCCGCAACTCCGATGTCGCAAATGTCACCCAGTACGCACAGTCACGTCGGCCTCAGGAGGCACTTCTGCTTGAATATTCGTCTCAGCCATCTCGAGGCATGAGTCTGATAACTCCGAAACATCAAGAATGATGGCAGTGATGTTGTTTGTTAAGTTACGAGAGGCAAACCCCTCAATATTAGGTGAGGGTGTCTCCTCGCTTTCGCAAACTTCGTCAGTTGGGGAATACGACCCAACTGGCCCAGGATACCCGGCCACAGCGGGTCCTGTATCCTGCTTTCACCGCCTTTCTGCAAGTTTGACAGCTCCTTAGCTTCTCGAGAAAAGCATCGTCCATTTCGACCTCGAGAGCAACCACGATGCACACTCGATGATCAGTGGACAATGGAGGCAACAAATCCTGCAAGCGAAATTGAAGAAAGAGAATAGAGATCCTTGTCTCTCTCTCAATTATTGAGAGGGATCGGCTTACCTAACCGATCAGACCGGTTAGTTCCCCCGCGTTTGTTCCCTCGCGGAGGCTTCCTGCATTCTTATCTTGGCCAGCCAGTAACAGACCGGGGTCTCTCCTGCAAGCTGCCGGAGAGAGGAGTCGTTTCTTTTCTTGAGTTGGTCCAAGTCGCCACCAACATGGCCGGATTTCCAACAGGCCCCGAAATCTTGGTCCAACGGGTTGGGAGATCGCCGCATTTCATGGTTCTCAACATACCCCGAATTCACGAAACAAAGCCCACACAAGACAACCAGCGTGCGCGCAACGGAATCCACACTCGCAACTCCACATCTCAGCCATGGCAGGCAACGGATCCCGGACCCGGGATGGATGCTATCACTGCCGGCAAAGAAAGAAAAGATGCGACAAGTACAAACCCGAATGCGGCAAGTGTCAAAAAGACGGTGTTGCCTGCGTCTATCCAAGCCTGGATCCGACCTCAGAGTTGAAGTTCACAGAACCTTGGAGCGGACCGTGGCGAGGACGACACCCCATCCTTCCTCTCAAGACGGCCGCCAATAATTCTTTCGTAAATATCGCGCGAGATGAGCTTGCTGTCATTTGCCAGCAGTACATCGAGATTCCGGTGCGGCAGATAACCGCAGGTCGGCAACGCCAGCAGCAGTCGTCGTTGAATGAGTTGCCTCTCAAACCTAATCCGTCATGGCGACCCATGTCGAATACAGAGTCGAAACTGGTACAGTATTGCAAGTCACATCGTCAATTGCCTTCGTTCCTCATTGGATGCGTTCTAATCCACTAGCAGACTTTGAAGTCATCAGCAACAGCAAAGTCTACGTGGACACCGAAAGCAACATCTTCAAGTCGTCTGTCATGCCTGTCCTTCTCAGCAATGACGGTCCGCTTCTATCGACAGTCCTTGCTCTAAGCGCTGCCGAATGGGATTGCAGAGGCGCTCGCGACGGAGTCGATTATGGCAACAGCGCCATCCGATACAAGGGAAGGGCTCTGAGCCAGCTCAGGTCCAGCATCATGGCGGAGACGAATGCCGAGGAAAATGTCTTGACGTGTGTGCTTCAGGCTTCGTTAGAGATCTCGGCAGGTTCTGGGCCGGACTGGCTACTCCATCTCCGCGGAGCATTGGCGATCATGGAAAACCATCCTGGTTGTGTCAGCGCCAATTGTGCAGCTTTAGCTCTGCAATACTTCCGATTCCGATACATCTTGATGAAGACGACGGAAAACAGAGAGCCGACAGACTGTCCACCCCCAGACTGGCTGCTCTACAGAGCTCGTGGAGCTGATCAACTTGATCAGTTTGACGGCGATCAACTATCAACAGCCGTCAACAGCATCCGAAGATGGCCCGTCTTTGGAGAAGCGCATCCGGGAGTTGGAGTTCCACGCAACGGAGGATTATCTCTTGAAAAGCGCGGAATGCTTCAGACTCGCTACGCTGATATACTTACACCTCAAGGTGTACCACGCCCCGATTCGGTTTCCGTCGATGTCGACCTTGCTGCAGCCGTTGATAGATTGTCTCGCGGAGGTCGTCCGCGAAGATCTGCCGCGACGGTCATTTCCAATGTGGCCGCTGTTCATCGCGGGGTGCGCCAGCTGCATCGACGAGCATCGCAAAGCTGTGCTCGACATGCTGAATCTGCTCGACAACAAGTGGCCCATCAGTAATATCTCCACCGTCACAGAAATCATGGCGACAATCTACAACTTTCGGGACCTCAACGACGGTTTGGCTGCAACTGTGCAACATGATTGGCAAGATATAGTTGGCAAGTTCGGATGGAAACTGTCTCTGTCGTGATCTCATGGCTTTGAACAAATGAAAAGGAAATACAAACGAATGGAACATCACAGCCGAGCCTTCGAAGCGGCCTCGTTCTCTGCAATCAGGTCCTCCATCTCCCTCACGGTGCCGACTCGCCAACTCACCGAGTTGCCCCAGTCGTCGCTCTCGCCATTCGGCGTCCGCCACTGCCAACGCGGCAGCTCTTGTTGCCCGGTGTCCAGGAGTTGCCCAACCCATTTCCCAAACACCGGCATCATCTTGAACCCGTGGCCAGAGTCCCCCGAGAGAACGACCAGAGACTGCGAGGTCCCGGGCACGAAGTCGATGCAGTACTCCGAGTCCTGCGTGTCCGAGAACCAGCAGAACTTGCGGTCGACAAAGGGCCGGTCAGCCAGCCACGGCAGGGTTTCGCGCAGGAGAGTCCGCAACTTGTGCTCGTCGTCGGGCGGAATGAAGTCTTGGGATCTCGCGGACGGGAACTCTGCTGGCATCGACGTGCCGTTGACGGTGTTGGTGAAGCCGGCGCCGAGCGGGCAGAGCTTGAGCAGGCGCGTCGCCGGGTCGGGCTCGAAGAAGAATCCCAGGTCGCGGACGTTCGTCACGGGGATTCCGCGGAGGAAGTCGGCCTCGTCCTCGGTCAGCTGCACATGCGCCACGGACCAGCACCGGGCGACGGTGAACTTGGCGAGTCCAGGAATCAGCGAGGCACCGTAGGCGCCGAGTGCGCAGACCGTCTTCGCCGCGGCGTGTTCCGCGCCGTCGGCGGTTCGCACTCCGGTGCACTTCCCGGAAGCATCGTACAGCAGGTCGGTGACGTTGCCGGCATGTCCAAGGAGAAACCGGACCCCTCTAGCTGCGCAATGGCGGTGAACGGCCTTTAGGGTGTTGCCTGAATGGCCGTACCCAGCAAGCCTGTTGTGGTATCCCTTAAATCCGTTCATGGGCCCAGAGAACTGCCATACGAACTTTCTGAAGTCGTCCGCGCTGTGTAACAGGCCTATCTCGTTGTCGAACTCAGGCCTGGACTGCACCGAGGACAAGGACTTCTCAAGGACCTCGACAGCTTTTGGGGGTGCGCTGCCGGAGGTGGCGACGATGTAGCCCGTCTGATGGTAGTAAGGGCCAAACAGCGGCGTCTTCCATCCTTCAAACGCTTCCTACAGTGCTATGAGCTTACTTCGGCGGCCTTATGTTGGGAAAGGGGTGCTCCTCACGAGAGCAAGTTTGGTGTAGAAGACGTCTTCGTAGTCTGCGCGAACGATTTTGTTGAGGTCAGACGCAGCGGAGAAGCGCGACGGGACGTCCTCGGCCCTGTCGACGACCAGGATGTTGGTATAGTGGGCGTTGAGGAGGTGCAACGCGGTCGAAAGCCCGAACGCGCCGGCGCCGACGACGATGATGGGCATCGACTTGTCCATGTTATCTGTATGCGACGGAGAGAAACTTTCAATATACCCGGAAAGACTCTCCGAATTTTCCTCACACTTATAATCCATCTATATAACACTGGATCTGTTCCCCGCCGTGGCCCCCTAGTGTTGTTGGCACACCGGTCAAGTCTGTCATATCGAACAAACTTGAACCGGGCAAGAGAGCTCCGGTCTCCCATCTCTCCAATCACAACTGCAGGGACTTTGCATCACCCGGTTACATCTGCGGCCAACGATCTCCGGGACGCACGACACCAAGCCGGCATGATCTGTCGTGACATCGCCTTTGTGCGAGCTAGCGTAGGCGACTCCCATCCTTCTTCGATGCCGGGGACATTTCATGGATGTCTTGGCCCACGCGTGGGAGAATGCCCCGAAAACAAGTTTTCGGACTCTTTGCAGCGCGAATCTTCTGTCACGGCGGGGTTGGTGACACCAAAAAGGCGTCTTTGGGGTCCCGATCAGCCTAGGTGGATCCTAAGCAATGGGGAAGGAGTGGGGTGTGCTATGTTTGGTGTTATCCCACTGGCTAGGAAAGACAGATTTTCAAGGGTCCAACGCTCTTAGACTGAATGCTTTCGCGCCGTGGCTGGGCTGGAGAAAGTATTCCCGGGCGTCCAACCGGTGACGATTTCCGCGAATTCCGCCGAACTAGCCTGACGGGGTTGATGGTAACGAGGGCGTACTATATACGAAGGAGTTGCTGTGGACTTTCCAAGCCAAAAGAAAGATACGCCGGCAAGGTTTACCAAACGTACGCATCATCGTTCCGTCAGACACGAGCAAGACGCCGGAAGATTTTGCCTTCTTGAGTGCGATCCCGGCTTTGTTTTCGGGATGGGGGTCTCGGCCCCGTGGTGGATCCCGGTCGACATCCGGCGCAGGGCGGCGCTTAAGCTAACCCGGTCTTGTGTTTCCCCCCGCATCGTGGTGGATCTCTGACCCATAGCATCGGTAACACAGCTTCCTCGGGATACTTCTTGCGTGAGTGACCCCGGTTACGCTGTTTTTCTGTTTAGGACGGCTCTGTACCAATGCGCGTGAGTTTGATGCCGGATATGCAACGGGTCACGGCGAACGAAGTGGAGTAGCTGTTTGTGGAACGGCATTGATCATGAGTCGCCCGGGTGAGAATTCCACCTTGCAGACCTTGGATGTTTGTATCCGTAGCTGCGGTCCTAGGTGCTTATGAAAGTCTGTGGCTTAGTGACGACTTGGTTATTCCACCCTGCTTGGTTTTGCGGGCTCGCATCTGGTTGGGCTGCTATGCAGGGTAATAAGCTATTCAACCTTCTATTGTATTTGTTTCCTTGGTTGTAAAATGTGAATAAAATGCATCTAACTAATCAAAAACTTGGGTATTATATATGTTTCACACACTCGGCCGTCAAAAATCGTCATCAACCACATCCTTCCTCACGAGTACTTCTCCCCCTTCTGCGGCGGCAGCAGACCCTCGTGGTCATGCAACACCAGCTGCAGCGCGCTCTCCTCAACCCTGACCTTGACCACCTTCTTCCACACACTATTCGACCCGACACCAGCCCCGACATGCGTCAGATCCCCGTCCGGCGGCGGCGCCGACCGCAGCGCCAGGAGCACCAGGTCCTGCAGATCCGACCACGCCGTCACGCCGCGCAGATCAAGCCGCCTGTCGCCGACTGCACACCCAACCCAGTCGAGCGCCTGCGAGACGAGCACCACGCCGCCGTAGACGCCCACGACGCCGAGGTAGATGTACATCATGACGAGCGCGAACTCGAGCGTCTTGGAGAACTGGCCCGACCCGTAGCCGTGCCGCTCGGCGTCCAGGTCGATCTGCACCCAGTCGTCGCGGAAGCGCTGGATGTACTGCTCCACCGTCATCTCGAGCTCCGACTCGGCGAAGTTGCCGTTGTAGATCTCGCGCGTCGGGTACGTCGCGTTGTCGGCCACGCTGACGTAGCTGTGCGCGCCGGACCACAGGCCGTTCTGGACCGCGAGGTCGACCCACGTGAGGTTGTCGGGCTCCTCCTTGAAGACGAGGCGGGTCTCCTTGTTGGCGGAGATGCGCGCGATGGCGTCCGTGAGGAAGACGCCGTAGAGCTTGGCGAGGAAGGACTCGGTGTCGGACTTGCCGACCTGCGGGTTCTTGCTGTCGTCGATGGTGTCGAAGTAGCGCACGTAGGTGCCGTCTGCGCGCTCGTGGCGGAGGAGGAAGCGGCTCATCATCATGCGCAAGGGCGACGTCTCGAAGAGGGTGTTTTGTTGCTCGTTCGTGTCCGTCATGAAGACGCTCGTCGTCATGTTGAACAGGGGGCTCGTGCCCGCCAGCCAGGACTTGTCGATTTGCATGACGCTCGCGCGGTTGGACTCGTCCTCGTGGAACAGCTTATTCATGACGTCGGGGGAGCTGACGTTGGAGTCCATGATGTTGTTCGACTCGGGGTCGACGCTGAATTCAGAGGGCACCCATCGCCCGAGGAACGCGCAGGCGTACACCCACGTTTTTTGCTCCATGTCCTTTGAGGCGTACGGCATGGTCCCCGCCACCGTCACAATGGACTTGACGCTCGGCGCAGCAGGGTATAGCAGGTTGAACGTCTCAGACGTCGAGTGTCCCGAAATGTTCCAGTAGTCGCGATGCACAATGGGCGGGTTCCGCTTCAGGGAGAGGCAGTCTGCGTCCCCGTAGCAGTTGATGGAGCTCATGGGGAAAACGGCCTCCGTGCCATTCTTCAATAGCTCATCCTTGTCGTACGCCGCGCACCGGCCCTGCATGAATGGCTGCTTCATCGGCGTCTTGGTCGTGAGCTTGTAGCGTTGTGTATCGTGAAGAATCCCTATGCTATCGGACTTGTGGATGTAGGTGGTGAGCAGCCCGAGGGAGTTCATGACGAAGGCTGGCGGCGTGGTGAAGAGCGCCACGGAGCTGTTTTCGTGAAGCTCAAGCCGACGGCCGAGCTCAGACGAGAACGTGAGGTTGTTGTCCAGATCGGTGTAACGGAAGCTTCCCAGCCAGTTCCAGATATCCGAGAAGCCGCCGGCGTAGCAGTACGGCTGGAAGATGCTCTCGGTCGTGAGGCAGTCCTGCTTCTCGTCAAAGTGGTGAAGACTGCTGTCCAGAATCTGGGGCCATGCTTTGTCGGCCTCGAGCGTGTATATCAGAGGCATCTTGACGTTGTCGAAAGCCGCGGGGACGTTGTACCACCCGAGGTTCGGCACGAACAGAATGGCGGACGCAGGACCGATAATCGTCGACATGATTGTGCCGAACACGACAAAGGCGACGAGTATAACCTCCGCGGTTCCAACACGCCCGAGGCCCCAGAACGCACCGCTCGTCAGGTACGCCAGATCGCCCAGGCGGTACCCGCCGGTCAGGAACCCGAGCCGGACGCCGTCGCCGACGAGCCTGCGGCGGAACATAGACAGAGCGATGGCGGCGAGCGAAGCCACGACCATCAGCTCGTGCAGCTTGGACGCGAACTGGAGGACGTTGGAGATGACCGTGTGCTTGTTCCCGAACCGGCCGATGATGGGCAGGTCGGGGCCGGTCTCGGGGTACCAGAAGATCTGCGAGTGGCTCATCCATATGAGCACGCAGGTGACGGCAATCGCGGGGGCGTGGGGGAGCCACGCAGTCAAGAGCCGGGGCGCTGTCCTCTGGATGACTCGTTTCGGGGCATCGTTGCCTGGGTCTCCGACGGGGACATGCCACGGCCTTCGAGACTTGCGGTCAAAGTATTTGTCGTCTGAGGCTTCGTAGAACGAGTCTTCGGACAGGAGGGGTCTGTTGGTGGTGCTGACGGATACCGCGTCCGGCGACATCAACGACGGTGTCGTTGGCGAACGGTAGCTCAGCTCGTAGATGTGGTCCGATTTGTTGTCCATCTTGGATATCTGTCACACAGGACTGAGATCTCACGTTATCCTCCCGAGAGACCGGACGAACAAGCTCAGATAAATCCTCTCGACGGTTCTCCTTGGCATTCCCCGGGGCGGGTACCCGGTCGAAAATCGGCTGATCCACGCAGCCTCCTTCATCGTCGCCGGCATCGTGAGGAGAGGGATGCCAGGCAGACACCAAAACCCCAGACTGCATATATTGAGCAGGGATTCCGTGGTCAGGCTGCTCTTTTGCATCTGCAAGATGTTGAGCTTTCATCGCGGTGTCTGCAATGCCCCGGCCCAGAGCTGATAAAAAAGAAAGGAGGCTGAGGGAACTTCAGTTAGGGCAGGCCACATGGGGGCGGAAACTCATGCACCTCAGCACCAATGATCGTGCCGCACGGAAATCACCTTCCTGTTTCTCTTTTACGAGGCTCCGTTTGTAGACCTCGAAGGAATATAACCCTGCCAAGCAAGCGCGGGTGCCAAACTTTAGTGCAACGTTTGTCTTGTGTTCACGTTCTTGGTGTTGGGCTGGACGACACAGCCTTGGGATATTTGCAACAGCGACCAGAATTAGCTTCGCGTGTTCGCCATCAGAGAGTGAGTGGTCGATCTTCGAAGCGAAGTGATGATGTCGACTTACTGTGCTTGGCCCGCTCAGCCCTTCGCCTTTTGTTGGGCGGATGCAACCACGAGTGTGCAATCACCTGAGTTGCGAAGGATTTATATGGCTGCCTGCTGGTCATGTAAGCTCGGGTGTGAAGACCCACTGCGGCGGAAGAAAGCCCGCCACCAGAAATAGTCGCGTAGAGCGGACCACGCAGAAACTAGGAAGATGGCGAAAAACATAAGAAAGCTGGCCAAGACATTGATAAGAAAACTTGAATTGGGTTGAACGGTCGTCCGAACACCTCGCGGGCCGGAGCAGCAAATTTCGGGGGGCGAGAGCACTCTGGGAGCACCGAGCCCCATTCGGACCGAACTCCGATATGTGTCCCACTAAATACCGAAAGCCGGAGTCGGCCCTTGTCCGGGCCGCTCCGGAAACAAAACAATTCACCGGAACCAATTTGCATTGTGATCGTCCTCTCATTGCATTTAAACATCATTATACGACAATTGAAAGTCATGAAAAACAAAACACCAAAGATGCCAGGCGCCGCATGAGGGTATACCAAAAGCCCCCTACTCCGATGAGCCCAGCCTACCAGTCCATCCCGGCCGCCAACGCCAAATATTTCGTGACATGAACCTTCCCGGAAAACCGAGCCTCCTTTTTTTCTTGCTCTATCCCCGACTCCGTGTGTCGCAAATGCATCCAACCATTGAATCATCGTGAATAACTCGAAACATGCTCCCAAAGGAGTCTATATGCGAAATGTGTTGAACCGAGAATGCAAATCAGAACATCAACTTAGGCGAGGGTGGCAATTTCAGCAGCACCATCGCCTTCTTTCGTCGTTGTGTCGACGCCAGTCGCGGCCCAGTTCATAGCGTCGTTCATGCTGTCCTCGCCAAAGACGTTGGCCATGAAGCCTTCGTCAGAGTTGTTCACGCCCTCGGGCGGGAACTGAAGCCACTGATCGACGTCAAACTCAGTGCCGGTGACGGCGTTCCAGTCAATTTCCTCCTGATTTTGGAGGAATTCCAGGTCAAGTGGGCCAGGCTCCTCGGAGCTTCCACTGGCACTTGGGGTCAAGCCGCCCATGGCAGATTCATTCTCGGTATGCGGCGGGCTAGTGGCCGACAAGTCCAGGGCGGCCGCACTGATGGTCTGGGGGAGAAAGTCACGCTGCGGGTTAGGCTTCGCAGCGAACATGGTCTCGCCAGAAGTCATGTAGGGCAGGTTGTCAGGCGGAGGAGTCTGCGCTCCAAAGGTGGGATCGGCAAGCTTGAGATTCTGCGCCGTCATGGCTGCGGTTGGCTGCTGTAGGTTTATGTCAATAGCAGCCTTGCGCAGGGCAGCATCGAGAAAGCCCGTGGCGTAGTCAGCGGCGGCGTAGATCTCGCGCAACTTCTCCATGACACGCATGCACTGGCGGAAGCCACGAGTGGCGCGATCCCTGGATTGGGACACAGGGTTCTTCATTTCCAGAAGATGGATAATCATGGCTGGCAGAATGACCGTCACACCGGTGGTGGGCAGATACTTCTCGAGGCGCAACTGGTGAAGCTCAGCCGCCATGCGAGTTACATGCATCGCCGCATCTCGGACACGCAACCGAGACATTTCTTGCACTTGACGAGAAGTCGTCGGGGCGTGAACCGGCGAAGAGGGCAAGAACTGGGGACGGTGCAGAGCTGAGATGGTGGTGAAGTAGACCATGTGAAGAAGTGTGCGCTGAACGGCAACGGTCGAGCGGCCGTTCTTGACGTCCAACGGAGTCAGGGGCCTGTACTGGCAGATAGGGGGGAGAGTTTCCGCCCAGGCCATAAGCTCCAAGTCAACCGAAGTCACGCTCTCCACATTGTCCAACTTCTTGTTGGGGAACAACATCATGGTGCTGTTGACAGTGTTCTCTGGGCGCATCTTATCCCTGATCAGGACAGAGTACTGAGCCTTGAGCATGTGGCTTATGCAGATGCAAAGCTGGGCCTTAGAAATGCAGAGAGCGGCAAGCTCCTTCTGCATGGCTACATCGCGAAGCAGGGTGCACTCGGTGGGAATGACCGTGTTATCCTCAGGCAGGACCTCGAGCTCGAAGTCGGCCTCCTGAAGCATCGGCACGTCGAAGTCTTCGTCCTTGATGCGAGTGGGTCGGCGCATGCCCAGAGCAATGAGGCGGTCCCGCATGAAACAAGACCACCAGATGCGCTTCCACAGTTTCTGCTTGCGAGGCGGCATGCTGGTAGCAGCCGGATCGCGGTGGAGGCCAATGGTGTGGGCCAGCGAGATTGCAACACCCATCCAGTGCCATGTGTCCTTTTGGTCGTCGGGAGTCTCGTACCAGTACGTCATCAACAGAAGAGCCTGGACGAGGACGAGGCGATCCGACTCGTAGTCGAAGTCGTAGAGGAGCTGCAACAAGACAACGTTTAGCATGTGAAGATTGGGAAAGCGTGGGACCCCTGTCCCGCTAGCGCGGTGTCAAAGGGACGGAGGTTCAGAGAGGGGGTCCACTCACCCTCGTCTTTTGAAAGAAGGCCTTCCTTGCGGCCTTCCTGGTTGGGTAGCCAGCTTCACGGAGAACCTTCATGTCGACAAAGGCAGTGGCGGCAAACATGACAGCTTGGTACAAGAACAGACTGATTTGACCATTCAGGCCATCGTGAGCGTTGATGGTGGCGAGGAAATCGTACAGCTCCAGCAGAGGCATGTACGGATGAACGTATTCGACATAGGCCTGCAGCAGGGCGTTCTGCAACGGAAGGGCAGGCAGAGTCAAGGCCCCCTTGGCGTGGAGGTAGGTGACATCCTCTTGGGCGATCTTGGCGGGAAGTGGTTTCACGAAGGCCGGAAGCTGAGCGTGGAGGTCAGGCTCCTCGAGAGATGCGAGGAATTGACTCGTCCTGCCATCGCCACCAGCAACACCGGCACCACCACCACCACCGCTGATGCCTCCAAAGAGAGAGGCCTGGGCAAGCAGGTTGGACAGCAAACGGCGAGAGTTGGAGTCTGCTGACGCCGCGGCGGCAGCGGACTGCAGCTTGGTGAGCATAGCTGCGCTGTCATTACGGTAGCCCGATCGTTGATCTAGATTTCACACAAGGTCCCGTGGTCAGCTTTGGTCTTGACCGCATTGGTAAGATTTGATATGATGATGATGATGATGATTGCCAGGATTGAGGTAGGATGGAAAAGTGCGACTGGCATGTGAATGTGGATTACATGTAAGAGGCTAAAGCGTGGAGGGACGGAGCCGGGGACGGCGGAGGGTGACGCTGGGGGAGGGGGGTGTAGATGGAACGAAACAAGACATGACTGGAGGAGGGTGGGTGGGTGGGAGAAGAGACGGGGGAGACGAGACGGGGGAGGAAGGCGGAGAAAGTCTTGACGTGGAGGCCCAGGTCACGGGGTAAAAAAAGTCCAAGGCCGCCCCTCCACACTGGACTGCCCCCCATTCCGTCGTCCCCTCCCCCAGTCCGAGCCCCGGATCTGGGAGCGATGGGCAAAACCAGGAACCGCACGAGGCAGAGGGGGAAAAAAATGGTAAAGGTCTGAGCGACCAAGAAGAGCACAAACACGAACATGGAAGACGGAAATTGACAGGGGTTGGGGGTCATGCGGCGGCGGTGCAAAGCATAGCAGCTAGGAGGGAATGACACGCTAAGAATGTTCCAGGACGGAAAAGAACAAAGTGACAGGAGGCAGAAACAGACAAGGCGCAAAAGAGTCGACTTACAGATCATGTGAGGAACATGGCCCTCGAGTCCGTCAGAAGAGCCGCCGGTTACCGACAGACCCCCAAGCACGCCTGGTCCAACTCCAGCTCCAACTCCAACTCCAACTCCAGCCCCGGCGCCAATGCCGGGTGTCGCACCCATGCTCACGCCGGCGGCGGCAGCGGCAACGGGATTCGCTGCAATTGATCCGTTGACCGAGGCCACCGAGGCATTGCTGGGTCGGCGCAATTCCGCGCTGCTGTGGATGTTGATTGGGTTCGCGCCCTTGGAGCGCAATTGAGCCTCGGCTCCCACAACATGGTGCCCCGCCGTGCTGGCAGTCAAGAGATTCTTCCTACAACACGCCATCAGTTAGCAGGGGTCCTTTGAATTTACCTCGCTCCAATCTGTGCTTCCCGTCCGTCTCCTTCCTCCAGAGTCCAGTGCCAGCTTCCCCAGGGGGAAATAACGTCCCGCATCTTCCCGCCCAACCAGCTTACAAGCGCCAAGAACCCCCAGATGAGGTCGTCGCCCCGTAGAGGCCCGACACGCGAATGCGCCTTCATGCGAAGCTGGCGGGGTGCCCCTGACCGGACTCATCGGATGCCGTGACAGAATGGAAATTGGTGATGCAGGAAGCAGACTGAAGGTCGGGGAAAGGCTGTAACTCACTTTCGTCGACGGCTCTCCTGGACAACGCACTCGACGTTGTCCCATCTGCAGTTGCCACAAGGCGCGCCCTCGACAACGTCGCAGCGCACCTTGCGCGCTCTGCAGCTCACGCAGGCGCGGGCAGCCCTGCGCTTCGTGATCTTGGCCGGCGGCGCTCCATCCTTGAGGTCCGCGGTGGACGAGGAGCGCTTCTTGCCCTGCTCGTGCTCTGACGACGTTTCGGCGCTGGACTCGTCGTTCTTCGCGTCAGTCGGGGGCGCCGGCTCATCGTCGACGGCCGCGGTCAAGGCCGACAGATCGGGAACTGGTTCGGTGGTGGGCGTCGCCTCGGAAGCGGCCATGGGTGCGGTGATTGTCGTCGTTTCGGTCGCCATCGTGTCGAGATAATCGGGCAGCCTCCCCTGTTAGAGACTGCTCACAATTTCAATGCCAATTGGCTCTGTAATTAGAGTGTGGAAGCCGTCAAAACTGCGCGGCTGTGTTCGCGACGGGTGGTGGTTTCCTGAAGAAGTTCAATTCCAGGCGGTTCGGGTCGACGGAGGTCCAAAATGGGGCCCTGGATGGTTGTTAAGGTCGCGTGGTCCGGCTGGGCCGAGTCGTTTAATAGGATTGGAGGTGACTCGAAGACGTCAGAGCTTCGTCGTGTATGCGGAATCCAGGCGTCAAAGGCGAGGTTTGCGTCTGCAGCGGTCTGGATGATGGGGCGGCAGAAGCTCTTCTGGAAGAACAATAACGCAAACGGCAAAGTAACGAGGTGGAACGTTGGCGCGTTAGGATGAGCATTGAATGTTTCCAAGGTTGGTACTAGAGATTGGCAGGTGCAGTGCTATTGAAGCCGCGGGGAATGCTGGGGCGGATGGGTGGCCCTGGGTGTGTCTCTGGCGTCTAAGTTGTCTCGTGATGTTCTTGATCTTGTCTTGCAAGCGGCGGACCAGTGCAGTGCAGTTTTGTGTTGTGTTGCGTTGGTGCAATGTAGTGTAGTGTAGATTGCAGGTATGGGGGAGACTAATGTTGCCTCAACCTCGAATTGTTAAGGAGAGCCGGAGCTACGGTCAAGTGGAAGGGAAGAAGCGGGAATGTGGGGTTGTAGGGTGCGAGGAGGGAAGGAGGAGGTATTATATGAATCAGATAGGATCAATCTTTTTGCAACAAAAACAGACCCAGGCGCAGATGGACGGGACTTGGGGACTTGGTACAGATGCTGGGCCAGGACTCAGGACTCAGGCGCAGACGACGGAGCTTGACACTAGGAACGGACTCTCTTTCTTTCGTCTGGAATTCCCACGAGGCACGCCCCCCCCGGCCCCGGCCCCTCCCCCCCTCCTCCTCTTTTTTGGCCCTTTCACACTCCGATCCATTGACAAGACTGGGACCCACGACACGGCGAAGTGAACGCTAGGCCGAGCGGGCGAGGGACAGGAAACGAAGGCGAGGCCAGGGAAGAAGGAGAGGCGGCAGCACACTCCCTGTTGCCTGTCGCTTGTCGCAGTGAGTATGAGCTGCTGCACCTTGCTACACCCGGAAAGGCCAGGGAAACAGGTGAAGAATCTGTCCAGTCACCACCACTACCCAGTGTACCTAAGGTAAGGAGGGTAAGGTACCTTTCCGCAGTACTGAGGTAAGGGTAGGGTAATTGGTAATTACTGCGTAAAGCAGACCCAGGACTGGCACTCGACTGCGGAACCAGGAGCAAAGAAAAGAACCACACACGGCACACCTCACACTTCCTAGAAAGCACACACACATTGACACACACACATAATGCAGAATGGAAAGTCACACTCTGTGCCTTTTCATTGGCAGTGCAGGGGGGGCCCAGATCGATACGTATCCGAATTATGGGGAAACGAAGCTAACGTAAATGAGGTGCAAGAATGGAGAAAATGTGGATGGGTTAGTCAGGTAAAGTATGGGACTGGACACGACGTGGGCGCCGGCAGGGATCCTGGATGAGACGGACAGCAAGCAGTCAGTCAAGACCAAGACAGTCACAGGTGTCTGACTACGCCGAGTGGGACCCTATGCCGCCTTGAAGGAAGGTCACTGGCGACGTGGAGTGGTAGGTCACCTTAGGTATCGTTTACCTCAGCAGAGGTACTGTGTCTCAATGTACTGCCGACTGCGACTTGTAGGGCGGCAACGTGGAACTCATGCTCAAAGGTACCTTGATAAGTGCTGGAGGCGCCGCATACTTGGAGGCCGTGTATGTTGGATATGGTCACGATGTGCAATGAGTGATTGAATGCGGACAAGGCATGCCGCAACGCAAATTACAGATTTCTCAGACGCCGCCGCCGCAGCTCGACTGTTGTTTATTTTGCCCTTCCCGCCCTCACGGTTTGTTTCCCAATTACCATGCGGTACCGCGTACTGTCGACCTGACTGTGTCCTAGCGGCCGTTTACGATGCCGCAGCAGCTACCCGACCTCTACCTACTTCGATTCGCCGCTGCACGCCCTGACCCTTCGAAGCTGTCAAAGTTGTCGTTGTCATCCAAACGGACATTAACTCATGTGCCTGTCTGCTGACCCTCGCACTGCTCCGAAGCGAGCACAGAGACCACGAGACGCAGGCTGCATCTTGCTGTTGTTGGACTTGGGCCGTCTGCGGATTGGCCAAGAAGCGTCGCCTCGAGATAGGGTACCTTGTCTGTCAATATCTGTACATCAGTTACACACTCACACTCACCTTCGTCTTGGCCGCAGGATTCCAGGCTTTGCTGGATGATGCGCATTCTTCAAGGTCAGCTCATGGGCGCCAGCTTTTGCTTTTCCTTAGGCCTTGGCCCTGGTGTTTGCGCCTCTTCCTCCGCCGCCCAACTGTATCTGTATCCGTATCCTGTATGTTCCATCCCATATGTCCAGAGGCCACCCCGTCCACCCATCCACACTTCCATCCATCCGGGCGGTCGGGCCAATCCGCGGCTTCCGTTTTATAAACCACGCACTCACAAAACCCTCCCAAGTTTCTGTCATTTTAAGGACGCAGTCTGACCTCATCTGCTCCGCGACGTGCACATCACCAGACATCGTGACGGCAGCTGCGGTCGCGTCGTCGCATGTGAAGCCCATGCCGAGTACGGATATCCTATGTGAAGTGAACATGTCGTAATGCAACTGCCACCATCCCTGCCCTCTTCAGCCAGCCAAGCTTGGATCATTGGGTTGGGGTCTCGATGACTGATGGAAGGGTGAGGGGTTGAACATGAGGGGCGCCCGCGTCTGCATCGTCCAATGTGGAGATGCCTGCTTCTTTGGTCCATTGCATCAGGGCATCATGGGTGCCGGTGTTGGAGCTGGAGCTGAGGCTGGAGGGGCTCTTCGTACATGGGAGGCAAGACATCCGCCATTCACGCCAGTTGTGCTCTGTAATGGGCTGTCACTCAACCTAGGAAGGAGGCCACACCGTGACTGCCGGCCTCCGGATCTCATCACCGTCATGGAAGGTAGACGTTGCCTGGAAAAGGAGGAGTCGACAGTCAATGAAGTTTCATCATGACAATCGGCAGGCCCATTGCCAAGTTGCACTTAACACTTGCCGTTGCCCCTCCTCGGCCTCCCACGCCGCAATAAAGACTCCAGAGTCCAAGGACCCGTCACCTCAGCGGGCTTGCGGTTTGTGGCCTGGCACATGAGGCATTCCCTGATTTTCCCAGCCAGCCCGTCTGCACCGCACCTGCACGCGTGCACCCCGGCCGATCCTGCCCCCCTCGATCATCCCGGCCCCTCTTCCTCTTTGACGGGGAGCCCACCGCACTTGTTTCTCTATCTGATCAAGTCGACAACCAATGGTGCCTCCCGTCTGGAACAACAGACGCCGGACCACCAGCCTAGTAGAGGGCGGCCTCTTTGTTGCTTGTCGTCTTCGTCTCTCCATGATACCATCATTTCAACCACGTCTGATGCGACCCAAGACCGCTTTGCCGCATCGACGCTAGCTCCTTGCCCATGCCGCCAACAACCCAGCCTAGAATTTCTCCAGACCGGCGGCAAGTCGCAACATGGCTGTTCCATGGACTGGACTGGCGGCTAGGGCACCAGCAGAACACCAGACCAATCTAATTCTTCACCGCAAACCTCGAATCCCTTCACCGTACCTTTGACCTGGAGGCTGGCCCCCGGCTACTGCCCCTCCGCGCGTAGCGTGGTCCGTATCCGCGTCTGTCTTCTACCTACGACGGGACTTGATGGATGCTGCGATATTGTATCCATCGTCGCCATGTGTCAAGCGAGGTACCTTGCGCCCGGAAAAGAAAAGACACACAAGACTTGGCTTTTTGGAAGCGAACCAGCAGGTTCAACAAGCATCCATTCATCGGGCTCGTCCAGTCACAAATCTCTCCTCCGCAGCCTCCACTTGAACCCAAACCCAAGGCCCTTGCCCCCCATCCTCTCGCATCACGTTGCGGAGACGTCCAATGACACCTTGCAGCGAACTCGTTGGCTGACACCCCCAGAGGCTGGGCTAGGCTGGGCCAGCTCACCACTCACCACTCGCCAGGACACCGTCTTCACACCTTCAGTCCGATCCACCACTAACTAGTTATTACCACACGATGTGCTAAAGAATTTACTGCTCACCAGCCCAGCGCAGTCAGTCCCGCGCAGGCTCCAGGCTTCACCATGACTTGCATCAGCAACAGAAGAGCGGCAGAACCTTTAGTTACCTACTTTAGGTACCTACCTCACACGGGTCCAGCGCGTGCCAGCCTCGCGAGTCAGGGGCTCTCGAGTCAAGTCAGCCCCGGGGGCCGGTGTGGGCGTCGCCGTCCGGATCTCAAGGCGCGGGCGGGCATCCAACCACAACTGGCTACATAATCCTTAGCCTATCGTAACCCTCATTTTCCACCCCCAGTGGCCCCCCAACTTTAAAGCATCACGAGCCTCTCTGCAATTTTCACACCTCATCTCAAACTGCACCCGTGCTATTGGGTCAATTGCGACTGCACTTAGTCACCCGCTACTTTGCACGTCGCGACCATCCCGGACCGTGTCCGCCGTCCATCCACGGACCGTGTCCGAAGGCGGTTTAAGGTCTTTTGTTTTTCCACCTTGACTCTTTTGAGCCTTCAATTCAGGGTCAGGTCGGGGACATGGGATTATCATTCAGTCGGTCAGTCAGTCAGTCAGTCAGTCAGGGCTGGTGTCTCATGGTTGTGGGAATCCACAATAAGAGGAATCACTCATCCATGATCCGTCACATAATACTTGGTGCAAGTAAAATTGTCACCACCACTTCAATGCGACCACACGTTAAAGCCGATCGCAGCAGTGGGCTCGCGGTCTTGAATCGGCTTCTTACCTCCTGCACTTCAACGCACAACGCGCAACGCAGCACTGCACAGCACAGCACAGAACGGCGACATAGATGCACGCCCGTGTCGCTGTCGCTGTCGCCGTCGCTCTCGCTTGCTCAGGCGCCCATAATCCATCCATCAGGGTTTCGTCTCGTCGTCGTCTCGCCCGGCCGGTGACGAATCGACGAGCCCGCCACTCGTGGCCTTTGGTCCGAAGGACAACATGCACAATTCCCGATTCAATCGCTCCCGCAATCAAATCGAAGCCCCTGCACCTGCCAACTGCCAATCAAGCCGCGTTCCACACCTTGAGATATCTCCATTCGCCCAGCTGGATTCGGCAATAGTCGGGACTAGGCAGAGGATCACCCCTGCTCCTCCCTCACCTTGATTCCTTCAGCCTTTGACACCACACATCCACACGGGACACGATCACGATCCTGTTTTCAGGTCCCAAGGGCAATGCGACAAGGCGAGGCGGCCCATCACTGCGCACACTTTGGCACACCGCACGCCGCACACGACGAGAGAGAGCGCAGTTTGGATGAAAGGGAAACACTGGTCGAATATTAAACCCAAAGCAGCCCAGACCATCGGAGGGCGCAGAGTCTCGTTTGGTCAGCGGCTGACCCCTGCGTACAGTCGAAACCTTCTCCCGGCCGAAGAGTACCCTGGCGCCGACTCAACGGCACCTGCAGGTGTGCCTGCGGACGGAAATGTCAATCGATGGGTCAACAGCAGCCACAACAGACGGGTGGAAGAAGTACGTACAACCGTGCAATTCCCGTCCCTCCATCCCGGCCCACCCATCTCAATAAGCCGTATCCTGACTTCGTCCAAACCTTGAGGGCAAAAAAGGGACCAACAGATGTAACGCATCAACATCAAACCCAAAAAGAAGAGGCCCAGACCAACCGCCACAATCAGAACAAGATCGGCATCGTGTTGCACCCTTGACGACTCAAGACTTCAAAGGAGTCTAACCTCCAAGTACTTGGTGACCAGGCGGCCTTGTGCGTTGTCGTGTCCCTGCCGGGCCCTATTAATCACTTTGTCGCAGGTCCCAATATACGCATGTTCAGCTGGGAAGTCTGGGACCCAGAAGCCGAGCCCCGGCCAACCCACACCCAACGAAACGCACTCCCTTTGCTCCGATACAACATGCCGTGCCTGCGCCTGTCCTTGGTATGACGAATGCCGCTCTCCCATCCCATAGAGTTCCAGACAGCGCCTCCGTCCCAGCCGGGCAGTCCATCCCGACCGGTCGCCCGCCCACGGCGCACCGCCTGAAGTTACGGCCCTGCTTTTAAGCCTCACTCACCGCTCTTAAAATAGGTAATATTGCCGGTCAGTCTCGAATCCATGACTTCACAGCCCTTGCGACGACACAAACTCCAAGACTCGGCATCGTGAAGAATTGGAACGGCACTTGCCCTGATCATCGTCTTCGTCCAACTCCGTTCGCTTTGCCTCTTCGCGAGCCGCTCGTAAAGTTCCGTGTGCCCCCCAGCGGTCATCATGGCGAACGAGACCAACCGGGCCTAAGATCTGGGCTCCGCAGGCTTCCTCACCATTGCTCGCTAAAGAAAACCTGCGCCCGTAGAAGCTTGCCCTGGCGCGCAGGCACACGCACACGCACACGAAGACGTTGGGTTGTAAATAAAACGAGGGCAAAGACAGGCTCCAGGGGTCTCCGCTTTCCATCGCTTTCCCGTGGGACCGACCACCCCCCACACAAGTGGAGGACCGCCATTGGGAAACGAAGCAGCCTTCCGTCCAATGGCGACGACGCCAGCCGGTGTGGAGTCGGCTCCGAAAAGAGAAGGCGAGTGAGCCCCACAACGCTGCGCCGTCCGCCGCGTGGTGGGGTCGCCGACCTTCTCCGATTCTCCTGTCCGAATTCGCCCTTGCTTGCAGCTCCTTCAGCCCGCAGAGTCGAGTCCAGCGCCAGCAGTACAAAGTATACACGAGTTTTATCCGTGTCTAGCACGCCGACGCTGTCCATTTCAGACCAAACCAAACTGTCACGGAGTAGATTAGACCAGAACGAAAAAGAACCCCACCTCCCTCTTTTGTTACCTAACCAAAGCTGTGCAGCTCGACTCCACCAACAAACCGGTGCGACGACATGCTGCAATCCACCCCGGCACGAACTCCACGGGGCTCCTCCCCATCGCCAAACCAAGGCAAATCGTTGTGCCAGTCAGGGGGAGGAGAAAAGCGAGCGAGAGCGGGGGTGGAAGGGGGGGGGGGCGGGCTACCTTACTCTACATAGTAGCTAGCAGCAGCTATTGTTTGACAAGTCAAAAAAACAGCAACATCCAGATAACGGGACTCTCCCGCTCGCTGCTTGATGCCGGACTGTCTCCGCCCGCTGCTTACAATCAACAAAATGCCTGCATCTCCAGTGGCTCCCCTCGTTCTGTTCTGCAAGGGGGGGGCGTGTGAACCTTTAGACGGGCGGACCAAGACTGTAGCGGACGCGAACACATCCTCTCGCACACACATATATCCACACACACACACATACATACCACAAACGCGCGCCAAATGGACGGGGAGCAGGAGGAGGGGTTTGTTCTGTGGGTGGCCTCTTTTTTATTATTCCGCCGCCAGTGATTGCTGCCCACCCGCTTTGCCACTGCCTAACCCTTTTCTCCATGGGGACTTCTCCACGATCGTCTTTGCTTGGCTCCCGATGACACACTAGCTCGACCGTTGTACGGTCGCCAGTTTTTTTATGTTGCCTGTCTTCCGTGTACACTGCGTAGTGTAGTAAGTAGTAGTGTACAAGTTCGCATGAAACCCGCCCGCATAGCCCATGACAGACAGCCAGCCAATCAACGCTTAACAACTTTTGTATTGACACTATCGTGATATCTCTCCATTCCGTTCATGCCATATCAACCAAGACAGGCAGGTAACTTTACGGGGTCTCCTCGCATTTGAGTAAACACACCCCCCCTTCTGAATCATCTCACTTGCCGTCCTCCTTCCCTGCGTCTGCCGCGGGAGTCGCGTCGTTGGCCTTGTCCAACTTGGCCAACGCCTTCGCGTCCAACCCGCTGTACCATTGCTTGAGCAGAGCCGCATGCGACGTCTCCTGCTTCGAGAGCTCCACCGGCGGCCCGCGGATCTGCGGTAGGTCATCCTGACTGTCGCGCTCAAACACCGCCCAGCTCGAGCCGTCGTTGGCCCGGAGCCCAAACCCCCGGCCCGTCATCGACGTGATGCTAAAGTGCCGGAGGAGGACCGCGTCGCCCGGGTGTACGACGGGCAGCGCCGCCCTGTGCGGGCGGAAGATGTGCACAGGCACCGTCTGCGTGGGCGCGACGGAATGATCCGCGATGTTGAACGCCAGCATGATGCCTCGCGGTCCACCCTTGGCCCGCTTAGCCTCGGGAGGCTCTGTCGTCGCAATCGCCAGCACGTCCACCGCCCTACCCGGGTGGTTGCGGAGCACCTTTAGTGATATGCAGTCGGGCACGTCTTGTAGCGACTTTGTAAGCTGCGACTTCAACGAGGCGGTGGTGGTGGTGGAGGCGTCACCTGCCGGGGTTGCGGGTGCCTCTTTCTCTCTCGCTGCTGCTCGCGATGGTGACTTGATCGCGGCCCTGGCGAGCTGCACGCCTTCGTCGTCTTCATCTTCTGGCGAGTCACTTCTGAATGCGAGGCTATGCGACCTGGCTCGGGAGGTAACACGAGTGCTGTCAGGGGTCGTGCGATCTGATAGGCGCGTAGAACGTCGCGATGCGATTGATGCACGGGCCAGCTTGACGCTAGGATCAAGATCCTTGTTATCTGACTTGTTTCTTCGGTGTCCGCGCCCTCGCCTCGGATTTGGCTGGGCGGTGTTGATCTCCTCCGCGAGATCCTCGGCGATAAGAGATGAATGCGCTTCCGACGGTTGCGCCGAGGAGTCTCGGATTTGAGATGCGTCTTCGTTGATAGGTGAAGCTGCGTCGCCAGGGTTCTCCGGATTTTCCACAGTCGCCGTTAGAGTCTCCTCTTCTACCCGCCTCTTGCTGGTGGAATCTGGGGAAGGTCTGTCGGCGACAATTTCTTCCGTGTCCTGAGTATCGACCACTGATTGGGAGACAAATGACTCCGTCACTTGCGTTTCTCTGGGTGTTGGCAGTTGAACCAGCGAGACATCATTATCCTCATCGTGGTCTTCACTGGCTCGAGGATCTTGCGTCTCGGCCGATACAACCTCCTCAGGTTGCGATTGAGCCTGAGTTGGAGGCGGGGAGGCCATCTCAGCTTGTCCGGTTCGGGCCTCGTCTACGTCCATTGCATCTTCGGACTGATGCTGGCGTGATTCTTGATCTTTTGGCGACGCAGAGACAAGAATCTCGGTGGAGACCTCGACCTGCAGTTTCTCCTTCACCTGCAGCTCTGGCGAGCCTCTGGGTGAAGCGTCTTCGTCCATCTCATCGTCAATTCGCGAGGTCTCATCGAGCTCAGTTGCTTCGGCTTCTAGTGTGATGATCGTCTGCGAGTGGATTTCTGCCATGGTCTCGTCCTCGAGCTGACTTTGGATGAGCTGCTCTTGGTCCATCTCCTCGTCTAGCAGAGACTCATCGGCCTCTGCGACGTCCATCTCGGACTCTTCAGGTCCCCCTCTAGCGACCTCGTCGACAGGCTTTTCGTCTGCGTCCGCCATGTTAATGTCCGTCGCTTCAGCAGCACCCCTGTCGGCAGGTTCCAGATCTACCTCAGCAGCACCCGTTTCTTCGGGTGCATCTCTGACCTCTTCCGTCTGAACAGTGGTTTCCACCTGGACTTTAGTAACTTCGATGTTCGTAGGTTCGCTCACGGCTGCGGGATCCGATGTTTCTTCGCTTCGGGTCTCGTCGGCTGCAACTGTCTTGACCGCTGGCTCATCCGTTGTCTCTTGGTCGTGGTGCGCTTCTTCGGCCGCAATTTCCTCCTCTAACTCGTGCTCGAGCTCCGCCTCCAGCATCTCGGGATCGTCTCGGGAGACCGGTCGAGGGCTACTATCCTTAGCATGTTCTGCTATATGCGGTATTTTAATAGGGCTCATTGTCTCGAAGTCCTCGCCGACGGTGGCCGTCGTCATGTCTGCAGAGTCGCTAACGGCAGCTTGGGGTGAAGACGTATTGACTTCTGACAAATTTTCAGGTGCGCCTCTGGACTCGCGAGGTCTGGGTGTTGGAGTACCGACATTCGGCTCTTGGTCTGATTCGTCCTCCCCTTCACTCTCTTCGTCCGATATCACGGGTGATGAAATTTGGTGGTTCTGACGAAGATTTTCCTTGTCGCTCTCCTCTTCGTCCTCCGGCGCGTCCTCTTCGTCGGATGATCCATCATATTGTGGCACTTGTTGTGGTCGTGCTGCTGGAGCCGCAGGTGGAGGCTCATTGTCATCATCTTCCGAGTCTGACAACAAGCTGATCACTTGGGGGGCGGCCGTTGAGGCAGGAGGAGGTTGATTCTCCTCATCCTCCTCTTCGTCATAATCTTCCTCCTCTTCGTACTCGTCGTACTCTCCGAGGTTTTCAGCGTCTTCAGCGTCTTCATCCACCTCATCGTCTTCGTTGGCCTGAACATCGCTGTCGTAAATCTCTTCCTCGTCTTCTCGGCCATAATCAGACTCAAGGTCTGACCCATCGTCATCATCTTGATTATTGCTGAGATTGCGGTAGTTGGTAATGTCGTAGTCCCCGCCGGCGTTGTCCTCTTCGTTTTCAGCTTCGGCATCGCTGTCACCACTGCCACTGTCGCTACCCTCACTGCTTTCTTGAGGGTCCTCCAATGCAGTGGCTGCTTTTTCCGCTGCCTTCTGTTCAATCGTCTCCCAGTGCCTCTCAGCATACGTCTTGGAGCCCACCTCTTCCTCAGGTCCGTCGTGGTCCTCCGACACCTGATCTTCTTCAACTCTAAGGGCGGCCTGCTTGCCTTCCGGATCTTCATGATGCTCTGCGGTCTGGCGCTCATGATCCTCACGCCAGCTATCGCTTGGGATGGCTTGTGTTCCAGCTTGGTCTTCTGTAGAAATTTCGGCCTTCGCCTCGGCATTGACCGATCTGAAGCCTGCTGTGGGTCCGTCTACTGGCCTCGTCGGCGATCTGGAGCGCTGCATCGACGTCATACCCCAAGGCACCTGTTGCGGTTCGGTAATCCCATCAATAAACTCGGTGTGATGCTCAGGCTCAGCCGGATGTCCCTGTGGCGTATGATGCTCCTCATAAGCTGGCATCGTCTCTGAAGCAGGCTGAGTAGTGGCAGCGAGGTGTGGATCGAACTGGTGCGCCTCAAGGAACGACGTGGGATATTGGCCATGAGATTCAACGCCGTGCTCAAGTCCTGCTTCCGGATAGGAGTCCGAGTGCTCATGAAATGGTTCATCGGCATTGTACTGCGGCTCCATGCCTGACGGATGGATCTCGTGGCTAAACAGTGGACCGAGAGATGGCTGATCAAAAGCCTGCGGGTAGTGCTCGTGCGCGGAAGTAAACATCGGTATCGGTGCAGTCTGCACAAAGCTGTCATGCAGATCCGATGGCATACCCAGATTCAGATCTGACTGTACGCCTGAGTCAATCATGGTTGACTTTGAAGGTGTCTGCCAAAACTGTGAAGGGTCGTGCCGAGCCTCTGCGGCGACTTGGACGTCTCTCGGAGGACTCGCGTCCAGCTCCATGGTTTGACAAGCTCCGTCAACCATCTTCGGTCGGGAGGGCGTGGCTGTTGGCGTGGCTGCTGCTGGTTGTTCGTCCGCCATTGGTGTGTCATCCTCCTCGTCCTTGTCGTCTTCGCGGGCTTCCGGCTCAGGGCTTGGGGATTGACTTGCATATCTCCAGACTCCGCTGTATCTACCCGTCTTGGTCCGTTTCTTTGCCCGAGCCTTCGCTGAGATGTCTTCCTCGAATATGTCCTGGCTGTCTGCAAACAGGGATCCGTACGACATCCTCGCGCGCTTCAGGAATGCGGGCGAAGCATACTCGTCCAAGCCTAGGCTCTGGTCGGCCGATCGCTTCGCAGAAACACTCCGCACGGGCGTTGCAATAAGAGGTTCTGGGCTCTTGGCGGGCTCTTTGAACGAATCGAGGACCGACGCGGGCAACTGTTCAGAATCGGGTTCGGGTTCGGGCTCGGCGGCTGGCTCGGCGGCGACAGGATGATCGATGTCGATGAGCTTGACTTCTTCCGAGTCGCTGATTTTCGCCTGGTAATTGTTAGAGTAATGCGAAGACCTGTGCGATATCGTCGCTGTGTACCTGGAGCAGAAGCCGCTCTTTGAACTTCAACTGCCATCCTAGGCTTGTACCGGGTACGCGCGTTTTGGAATCATCCACAACCAGCTCAACACCATCCAAGCTGAGCATCACCTCATCGCCGCTACCCAATCCAGCATCCTGTACGGACTTTGCGCTTGATCCACTGAATTCGACGCGCACCTGTCCCTTGGCGCGGCGCAATCGGAAGTCGGGTTCGGCGAGGAGAAAAGCGACTGTTTTGTTGATAATGCTGTACGGCCAGGTGATCGTTACAACGCCACGGACGACGCGCGATTTGGTATCCTGAATTTCGGGGCTCAATTGCGCGATGGGAGTGCCCTCGGCAGCTTGGAGCTGCGAGGGTAGCTGATCCTCAGACATCGCGTCATGAGGCTCGTCAAACCGAGATATGCGACGCGGGGTGACGCGCGGGTCAAAACAAGACAAGAAGTAATGAAGACGAATTCACCAACAAGAAATGGTTGCGAAAAAAATCTGTAAATTATCGAGGTCAGAAAGAAGGTGGGTGAAGCTGGTTACTGAGGTCGACCTCGTGGTGCAGCATCGCTTCGTGAGCATCTGTGGAAGAAAGCAACAAGGGAAGCTCCCGGCTGGAGGAGCTGCACCTGCACCAACGCTGCGTCAGGATCCACAAGGGGGCACGTGGCGGAAAGGGAAGGCGGTGTCGTGAACTTGCCGGGCAAAACAAGGAGTTTCTTATCGATAACAGGAGCGCAAGCGGCGGCGGCGGGCTTGCTTCCGAACCCCCTGCAAGTCATGTGACTCTCTTGGATAGACCTTGTCAATGGCTGACATCCGACTTCTGAAGCGTTCTTCCGGGCCAGAATAGGCATGTTTTGCAAGAACGAGTACATGCAATGTGTCTACACGTCAAAGCATCCAATTGCAACAAGCAGAGGCGTATTTCGCGAACCCGGATGCGATATCAAGCGAGGGGCATCTCCGTATCCGCCGGGGTCCACCACTCTGTCCGATTCCAGCCGATTGTGTGATTCTCCGCCGATATAACGCACTCCGACCTCGTGGGGCATGATATGTTGTCGCATTGCTTTTAAACGCGCCGAGGACCATTGCCATCGCTTTATTGTAAGACAGGCAAGGTCTGTGCCCCCTTGCAAACTGTCAAAACATGGACGCCGTTCCGTTCGACGTCAAGAAGATCGCCATTATCGGTGCCGGGCCCACCGGCCTGGCTGCCGCCCGGTACCTCGAGGCGCAAGGAAGCTTTGAGTCTATTGTCGTCTTTGAGCAGCAGGCCGAGGTTGGCGGCGTCTGGAACTACAGCGAGCATCCGACGACGTCTCTCCACGTCCCCCAGACGGATCCGTTTTGCCCCCAGGACCCTCCGATCCGGCCCAATCCCGATGAGCCGCCCGTGTTCCCCACGCCCATGTACGGGACGCTCCATGCCAACACCGTCAAGACGACGATGCTGTACAAGGACACGCCGTTCCCGGACGATGCATGGATCTTCCCGTCCCGGCAGGCCATCTACCAGTACCTTGTAAAGTACGCCGAGGACGTCCGCCATCTCATCAGGTTCTCTCATCAGGTCAAGGCACTCGACCTCCGGCAGGAGGACGGCCGGGATAAGTGGGACCTGGAAGCAGCATGCACCGTCACCGGCCGGACTTTCAGCGACACGTACGACGCCGTGGTCATAGCCAACGGACACTACGATGTACCCTACATCCCGGATGTGAAGGGTATCAAGGCCTATCACGAGGCTCATCCCCGAGCCATCCTGCACTCCAAGAATTACCGCGTGCCGCAGCAGTTTGCGGGCCAGAGGGTCATCGTAGTCGGCAACGGACCCTCGGGTCTCGACATTGCCCGCCAAATCAGCCCGCTCGCCGACAAGGTCTTTTTGTCAGTACACCACCCGACGCCACCAGACAAGGTGGACCACATCGGGGTGGTCGAAGTGCCCGCGATATCAGAATATTTACCGGAGAAGAAGGCGGTCCGTTTCGAAGACGGGACAGTGGAGGAAGACATTTCCACGGTCATCTACTGCACTGGGTTTTTCTTCAGCTTTCCTTTCCTACCTGAGATCCTGAAGCCGCATCTTTTGTCAACCGGCAAGGGTGTCAGAGGTCTCTACCAACACCTCTTCCTCATCGACCACCCGACCCTGGCATTTGCCGGCCTGCTGGTCAAGACGGTTCCGTGGCCACTGACAGAAACACAAGCCGCTGTGCTGGGGGCGGTTTGGTCAAATAACCTGAGCATGCCGCCGGTCGAAGATCAAGTGGCCTGGGAACTTGCGCTGTTTGAGAAACGCGGGGATAAGAACCTCCACGTGCTCGTTGACGATGGAGACGACGGTCGTTTCCTGAATTCGCTGCATGACTGGGCGATAGAGTCGATAAAATTGGGCAAAGAGCCGCCACATTGGGAAGATGAGCAATTCTGGGAGCGCAGCATCTACTACTATGCAAAGCAAGAGTTTGAAAAGCGAGGAGGAACAGCAACCACACTGGGAGAGCTTGGGTTCGTGTACCCAGGCAAGGGAAAGTGGAAGTTTCTACCGTCCAAGCTGTAGATCCGTTTGTGTAGGTTTCATATCGTGCATAAGCACCGTGGATAGATCTAGATTCAGCACGCGATATCCAACATGTGTTGAACAACTCCATAATTCATTCTCACAAAAATGAGCTATTTCGAGATTCCCCCCCACGAGGCGAGTGGCGCAAGAGGAGCTTTCGGATCTTGATGGTGAGACGGTGGCACCTCCGGGACATGGCCTGTAACTGTAGTGACGATACGCAGTATCAAGGGAAGAGACAAGCTCTTGTCCCCACGATGGATGATGGGATGGGTGTCAAACCCATGACAAGACAGCAGTCGTTTTTAGAAGCCGAGACTGGAGCTTGCCGAGAGGGCCCTGGGCGGCCCCTCGTGTTCCAATCTAAAAAGCAGCAGGGTTGAGGTAACCGAATCTGTGGTAGTGGGACAAGGGAGCTCTCAGGCGAGATGGTCCCGAGCGCGTTTCCGGGCCAGCCAACGGCAGGCGACGAGGAATGTTTAATAACAGCGGGGGGGGGCATATTTCATAGGGAAATGAGCAGAACCGACGAACGAGACGGAGAGTCAAACGCGGACGCCGTTCTTTGTCCGATGGTGTGTGATTGTCCGACTCAGCAGCAGGTCAAGCACACGCGGCGATGCGTTCGTCGTCGGTCGTCACACAGAGCTCAGACAGGACGGGACAAGCAGGGCAGGCTCCAAGGCTGCTGGGATGGGCTGCAAATGTTTTGAAGGGCTTCCGGGTTGAGCTGCACGGCACGGCCAATGACATGGGAGCTCTGAGCTCTTTTGCTGGGCGAGCAATAGCAGGGCAGCTAAGGTCGCCGCAGTGGGGGGATGAGGATCGCCGGAAGCGATGGAAGCGGGCGAGGATTGGCTGGTGCTGGCGCGCGTTGGGCTAGGTTTGTTCGTAGTGGCTGATCGGTTCTTTTTTTTTCTTTTTTTTCTTTTCTGTCTAGTCTCTGGTTGGCGTCACCCTCTGCCTCTGACTCTGACTCCGGCTGCGCTGACCTTTGGCGTTGTCGTCTCTCTGCGCCAGCTCATGCAGCCACGAGCTGAGCTACCGGCCTTAGCTGCAAAGCTACCTGACAGCTATCAGAGCTCCATGTTTGGTTTGACGTCGTATTTGCCTGTGAAGGTCGCCGGTAGCGTTGGCCCATGTCACGGTGTCAAACACGCATGTCTGGCAGGTCAAAAGACCACCCGACAGCATCAGTGTCAACATCCGAGCGTCAAATGTCGTGCATGCCATCTCATCTCTTCTTCCTTGTGCAGTGGAGAGAACGCGGTCAGGGGAAGCGCGTCAAGAAAAAGGGCGACGGAGGATGAGCATCGACCTCAATGCATCGACCTCAGTGTGCGCGCGGCATTGACTGAATTAAGAAGACCGGAATCCCAAGACAGCGGTCTAGGGATCCCAGACATTGGCCTCTTGTTGGTCTAGGCTGTGGGAGGAGGCTGGCAGACGGACTGCATCAAGCTCAGACAGGGACAACCCATCACATAATCACATTCCCAGCGGGCGGGCGGGCGATGAGGACGGAAAAGACGTCGAAATGCGGTCACCGTCCGCATTAACCAAGTAATGAGTGGCCATGCAGAATGCAGAATGCGCTGCAGCCGGTATCAGGGCATCGGGGCATCAGGGCACTGAGGGCAGACCGACTCTTTTGCTGCTGCAGAATTGCCTTGCGCTGCACCTCGCCTCGCCTCTTTTCTCGCCTCACGTAATTGCCTTGGCCCGGATTCGATAGTCGCCGTCGCGGTGGTATTCTTAGCCTTCCATTGTTGGTTTCGCTGGCAAGTGAGGATCACTGCAGAACAGCTGCGGCCAGTGGTCTTCTTCCACGCCTGCAAAACGGGGACGGACTGGCGCAAGCGCTTGCATGACGGGGGCTGGGAGGCCTGTCAATTCAGAGGGCATCTCCACACGAACCGATCAAATCCAGGCGTCGCCCACACCACATCACACACTGATCTGGGACACTTGCTGGGTGCGTATCCGTAAGGTACTCTACCTAGGTAAGGTAGCTAAGGTAGGTAAGGCCATTCCCTGCCTCGGGTACCTGACTTGCACTCTCGCAGCCCATTCCAACCCCCGTCCACGTCCCATCCATTCTCCCTCTTGGACCGGGCATCCACCCATCCACCCATCCATCTTCTTGGATGCAGCGTCCGTCCACGTCCCTGGTCCCCATCCAGCTAACGCACCTTACATGCGCCAGCACCCAATATTCCATTTCCATTAATCCATACCAATTAATAAATCTCCTCTTTCTGTCTGGAACACGAAACCCTCTCTCTGGTCCCCTTTCACCTGCTTCACATCTCCCTCTTCCCTTTAACCCCCCATCCCAGGCCGTGTCGCGGGTGCATTAGCTTGCTCTCCTTCACCCGCCCAGGCGCGAAACATCCGTCTTGCCCGACTTCATTCACTCCTTCTTTCATAACCTACCGACCCTATCCTACCTACCCATCCCATCTACATACGAACCTCACCAGTCCCTCATTCTTTCTTTACCTCGCCAATTTGACGCTGCCTGTCTCTCTAGTCCGTCCCTACTACAATACCTTATCCATCCCACCATTTCTTATTCTTCAGCAGCAACAACCAACCCTACTTAACCTTGAGCGCCCTTGCATCCCCCGGACACTGCGCCGCGACTCCCGTTCCTTTTTCCATCGAAGCCACACCAGCAACACGGCTGCCAGTCGGAAACACCCTGCGACTACCCGAACGAACGACAGCTACTCCCGAAGGAACCAGAACCCACCTCGTGTGTGCGACAACCTGCCTCCTACGCAGTCGCGGATCGTCTCAGACCAAGTGCGCCGGACAACAGAGCTCGAAAGCAAGGGAAAGAAAGGCCTGGTCAATTCGGCTTCCTCGATTATGAGAACCGTCTACAAACACCGCCCATGATCCGCGATATGGCCATATTCACCGACGCACTCTTCGTCCCAGGCTCATAGAAGCGAGCCATGCCCGCTCCCCTCGACCTCGCAATCGCACGTTCGACAACAAATTCATACTAACAAACACACAATGACCGACCATCCCCAGCCCGTCACGCCTAGCCATGGCCACCAGCTGCGCCCCCCGAGGCGCCAGTACCGCCTCTCCGACGAGCAATCGCCCACACGAAACCGACCCAACGACGAATTGTTGAACCGCCTAACCCCCATGACCGCCGTCGAGATGCTTCAATCACCAACCACCGAATTGAAACAGTGCCTTGACAACTGCACCGTTAGCGAGCAGGAATTCGCTATGCGCGCTGCTGTTGCGAGCCGCAAGATATACGAATGGCTCGAGGAGCTGTCCGACTGGCCCTGGCCCGAAGCCTCCGGCTCTGCAGGCTTCGAGATGCCAGACCCTCAGAGGCGAAAATCTTCAGACCAAGGAAACGACACGACCTCCCGAGATGATGCCGAATATATGGGGAGCTTACCTGCCGACGACGTCCTACGCTACGAGGACAGGGTGGATGGCATTTCTCACGACATGGACGAGTTGCGTATCGAGGATATCAAAAGTCACGTCATGCACAGCCACATCATTCCTCTATCGAGACCCGGAACGCCAGTCTCGACAGATTCCCGTTCTGTTTCTTCTCTGCTCGCGTACAACCGCATGGATGACTTGACGGCTCTTCTCACAGCAATCATCATTCAATCACTGCCGAATCTTTCCAAACTCTGTCGCCTGCTGAAGGTTTGGCACATCAGACTGTCCGTCCTTCGTCGCATACCTGCTTTGCTAGCTGGCATTGCAGAGGCAGAGTTCGCTCTCGAATCCGCGTGGGATGTGCTATCATCGCCAGCAAACACGCCGCCGGTGGAAGACGCTGCTGAAGATGACGAGTTGTCTCAGCTCAAGCAAGCTTACACCGTTGTGAAAGCAGTGCTGGAGAAGCAAATCACAAAGTCAGGGCGCAGCCTTGATTACATGCTCGACAGCTTGGAAGGGTTGCAAGATACCCTGCCAGATGACTGGCTTGATCGGATGGAGAAGATTGAGCGGAACTACGCGGAATGGGTTGCCGTCGGCGAACAAAAGATTCGGGAAGGAGAATGGGCGAAGCTCATGCGCCAGAAGGATTCTATCTCAACCACCTCAACTGAGCCGGCGAGTGTCACAATTAAAGAGCCGCCGGAGGTATCTACGAATGGGCCTGAAAAGCCAGCTCCGAAAACATTCACCGATGACACTGTTGAGAAGACCGCAAGCAAACCCCAAGTCAATGCTAGCTCTTTGCCAGTTGTTGCAGACGATCCGAGAACGGTTACTCTGCCTGTCCCCATTCAGGATGTACCTTCAAAGACGGAACCAGTCACCGAAAAGAGCGAGAGCAATTCCATCATATTCCACGCTGACGCCACCCCTGAACAATCAGAGGGCTCCGACGAAGACGTCCCCGAGGTGTCTCCTTCCCAGCTACAAGCACACAAGAAGGCGCACTCAACGACAACGACAATCGGTCTTGATGGCTCCGCCGAGGCTTCCAAAGCCAAGCGGATGCCTCTAACCGAGATGCGCAATGAAGAGCACACGAAGAAGACTGACACATCCAGCTCTCGGGAAGGCAAGACGGAGGAAATAGTCGTGCCAATCATCAGAGCTAGCCATGAGGACAACACTGGCGCGCCCTCGACTTTGGTCGACGACGAGGGCGTCGAGATTCTGTCAGACACACCCGAGAGCGAAGATGAGCTAGAGCTGCCGCCACTGATCCGTCCCGGTCGGCGTGGCAGCAACGCATCGCAATCATCCACCGTCCTTCATGGTCACACCAGTCTGCTGGCAGATGCCACGAGTGACGCCCCTGAAGTCTCAGCTTCGCCGCCTCTGCCGCGTCAGAAGGCTGTCGAGACCGCCCGTCAACAAGCTGCCACCACACGTTTCATGAGCATCAGTCCGCCCAGCTCACCCCCGTTCCGGCCCAGCTTCAGAGAGGATAGCGCCAGCCCAATGGTTGGTCCACATGGAGACGGCCTGCTGCCGGCGCTCCCTCTCGAGTCTTCCTTCTTGGATGACGAGTTCGACACGTCTTTCACAACCGTCCCTCCGCCCAGAGCACCCTCAGATATCAGGTCAGACGATCATCTTCGGCAGCAAATCAGTGACATTCTTGACTCGATTCCGGCCAACATCAAGCTGGCCTCGGGTCCTCCGAAAGTGAACCTGAACCCTCCGCCACCGGATTTGCCTGCGAGACGGCTTAAGAAGCCATCCAGAGAAACGATGAGAAGATCCGCTTCCGCCATGTCCGTGACATCACGGACCTCTTCGCGAGCCCCTACGCCGTACTTGACACTTGCACCTGCCTACGCCAAGAACCCCAGACCGAGGCGCCCTCAGGGCCAGCAGGACATCAAGGTTTACCACCTTTCCCGATCTACCGGAGAGGCTCCTATCAAGTTGTTCATTCGCTGTGTCGGTGAGAACGGAGAGCGTGTTATGGTCCGTGTTGGTGGTGGATGGGCTGACCTTGGAGAGTATCTGAAGGAGTATGCTGCACACCATGGTCGCCGCTCTACAGGTGCGGACAAGGCCAAGGTCGAGGTCCGAGATATTCCCCGTCCGCCAACGAGCCACAGCCGGGGGCCGACATCAAGTCCTCCGAGCCGGCCGGCTTCCGCTTTGGACATGTCTCCGATGACTCCACTGCATGTGCGAAAGGCTAGGAAATCTTTTGGTGCGGCGGATCTCCCATCAAGTACATCTGTCCCAATGTACCTCCCTCAGACTCCAGCGGTGCCACCCATTCCCGACAAATACACGCCGTCTTCAGAAGACTCCAATCGATCACGGGCTAGCTCGCACGCTTGGGCCGAAGAGGACAGCTCCTTCCTGGGCCTTGCCGGTCCGACTGGTCGGAGAGTCGAGATGAGTGAGGAAAATCGCGCCTGGGTTGAGAGCGTCAAGGAGAAGGTTCGCCTCGCTAGCGGCGAGATGCGCAAGACCTCTGAGTTTGGCGACATGGGCAAGGTTGGGGGAACGAAACGGCTTTTCCGCAAAGGCTGAGTCCAGTCTTTGCAACCGGTGCAAACAATCAAACACGAACAGGCGTATGGGCATGGGCGACACTACCGCTGGAGCGAGACCGTCGACAGGATCATTTCTTTACAGGATGGAACAGGAGAGAGACTTGGGGTTAAGATGCTTTATGCATGAGCAAAGGGAGTTCTGGGAGCGTTGTTCATCCTCACGAGGCAAATCGTACCATGACGGAACATTTCATTACATCATATCGAAGTTGGAACCTCACTGCAACGGCATGGCCTGGCTGTTTTCTTTTTTTCCCCCTCGCTCATCACCTACCTGCTCTCCAAAGCACGCTGTTTTCTTGCTTTGTCGTTCATACAAAATACCCCCTCGCATTCTCGGTGCATATTGCCAAACCGAGCGAGCGAGCCAGACAGTTCAAAAACAAATCATACCAAGTCCTGCATTGGAAATCGATGGTGATTCGTAGTGATGAAGAGCGCGGAGTGATATTTAAAGCTGTTTCTATTAAAAGCTGCAGGCATGGGTGCCGCGGTCTTTCGATGTTCCGGTGAGTATGACGGAGATTGAAGACAACCACGAGGCCCTGTAGACCGCCGAAGCTCAAACTGGTGAGTATGACTACATCATTCCCCGGACTGCGGCCTCCGCGCGCCGGCAGCCACATCCGCATCCCCCCGACGGCCAACCGGGCGCCGTACCCCGACGGCGCGGGGAGTCAGCCCGGGGCCCCTATCTCGAGGAGGTAGAGACACAGGAGGGTGCGGCGGGAGAACGTTGGTCCCCCGTCCCCGTCCCCGTCCTCCCGTCCCTCCGCCCCCCCTGGCCCCCAATTCTGCCGTACACACACCCCCTCCCCCTCCCACCCCGACCCAGCCCCCAACATGCGGAGGAAAACGGGCATGAGCACCTGCATGCAGCCTTGGGAATCTCATCCCTGTGAGATTTGCATCCTGCGTCTGCGTCTGCTCTTCTCCCGTACCACCCACACAATCCACATCTCGCTTCTGTTTTTGGTGGTTCGTTACGGAGACGGAGCTTATCTGGCCCTGTCAATGTACATAGCACTGCGTACCACTCTTCCCCGCGTTGCGCCGATGGAGATGGTGGGGAGTGTGGTGTTGAGATGGGATGGGATGGGATGGAGTCTGCTTGTGTTCCCTACGGATACCTAACGTCGTGAGCGTGTTGGACGAACCGATGCCGAGGCGCTGGGGACTCGACCTTGCTTGCAGTACAGGGTGTCCGTGGATGAAATCCCGAGCCGGCGCCGACACGGGGGGGTGGAGGTTTGGTTGGTTTCCCAGACTTTTCAACATTTCGTCTAGTAGTCGGTCAAGTCACTATAAGCTTCTTCTCACCGTGTATGTTTTCTTTCATCCGATGTCTTTTTGACGAACTTTCTGTGCCGGCTTGATTGTCATTGCACACGTTCTACAGTTTTAGAGAGATGGAGCAGCTGTTGAGCTGGACAAAAGACGAACGTCGCATCCCGGATGGATACCCAAGAAAACGCCGCTGGAGCTCCGTCCGACTTACCGAGGTGCCGAGTGACAACCTTATGGAGCCAAAGTCCGGGGAACCTATGCCGAGGGAACAAGCAACCCAGCCCACGCCCGCGTTCGTTGGGCGGCGTATGACGTTGATTGGATTGGCAAACATCCCCCCCGAGCTTGTTCGCTCTGCATCACGGTGTATGCATGTTCTATCCTATCTAGACGTTGCGTCCCTGAGACGCCGCCGGTTCTCTAGCGCATGCCGCCTCTCCCGGGTTTTGCTCGTAAGTTGTCTCGGGGGGCGTCAGGAGGGCGGGTAAAAGCTAATTCTCTTCCACTGTTGGTGATTATGATTAGTTCGGCGTACGTTTGGGGTCCCGGCCGGCTTGCTAAAAGCAAACAAACGTGGCATGCGCTCTTCTGCCTAGTCTGGTCTAGTCGCTGGCATGGGAGAAACACGGTTAGATGGTGGTTTGGTGTTTCCCTTCCTCCTCAACAGGTTCCGAGCTTCCCCAACACAGTTCAGCTGTCCCCAAGTTGGAGACGGGAGCTTTGGGAATTATTGGGGCGAGCTCATTCGTTTGGGGACGGGGGAGACTTTTGGCTCAGGTGGGGTTCCATTGCATGCGGGGAGAGCTCGCTTTTGGGGATCTAGACGACGTCCCAAGGATTTGGGGTCAGTTGACTTCGTCTGGGTTTCTCTACGGAACTATTTGAGTTGGTCGTCTGGAATTGGCTGTAGCTGTGTTGAAGCTGTCCCCTGTGTTTTCAATTCTGTAGCTGAGTGAAGCTGTTGCTCTAGTCACATAGGGGCACATTGCGGACGAAACATTGACAGAGGTATTGAAATCTATTTTCTATGTCGCGTTTCCCATTCAGCCTCGGAGACTCATTAGGAAGTATTAACGCGAGACCTGACCACCTCTCCCCTCTCTACGGGGCAGCTCAACTAAAAATGCCGGGAATCAAAAAAGTCCGAAGCGACCACGCGCTCGGTGTATCTGGTGGCATGCAGAGGGCGTTCTTCTGAAGAAAGCATTGTCGTCCTTTTCGGTGACGACGACGAAAATGGTGGTGTATCCCTTCGCTCAATTTTGGGGGATGGTGAAAACAAGGCCCCAAATGCCTACCCCAACGCCGGAATCAAAAATTCAACTCGCTGAGAAAAGCATCTCAGATATCCTGTCCTAGCCCTCTTTTACGGTCCGTAAATGCAACTCAAAATGTTTTCCATCATCGCACGCGGTTTCTGCTTGGAAGCAGTGTGTGGGTTTCGGTTTAGATACGGCTCCTCTCGGAGAAGCTGACGGGGTCGTAGACGCGCTCCTTGATCCAGGCGTTGAGGGCGACATCACCCCACTCCTCCCACTCGACCCACTGGGACTCGGGGAGCTGGGAGACACCGGCTCTGCGGGCAGCCTTCATGACCTCGCGAGCGACGATCAAGCTAGCGTCACGCACGCGCTCAATGCGAGGGTAGATGAGACCCTTGTGGATCTCGTCGGCGTTCAGAGAGGCGGCAAGGGAGGCGGCAGATGTGTAAACCATGTCGTCGGTGACCTTGGTGGCCTTGGCGAGAATGGCACCGAGACCAAGACCGGGGAAGACGTAGACGTTGTTGCCCTGGTTGGGGTGGTAGGTGATGGACTCGCCCTCCTTGGACTTGACGGTGACGGGGTTGAAGGGGGATCCGGAGGCGAAGAGGACGGTGCCGTCGGTCCACTGGATGGCCTGCTCGAAAGTGCACTCGGCCTTGGTGAGAGGGTTGCTGAGGGGGAAGAGAACGGGGCGGCGGCCGAGGCCTCCGGCATCGACGGAAGCCTTGAGGGCGCGGACAACGGACTCGGTGAAAACACCGAAGGTGGCAGTGAGACCGACCAAGGCGCTGGGCTTGACGTAGGCGATGACCTCCTCGAGAGTGCGGAACTGGTGGCCGTTGTTGTCGGTACGGGCAAAGTACTTCTTGTGCTCGGCGAGCTTGTCGCCACGGTCCTTGGTGACGAGACCCTTGGTGTCGACCAGCCAGAACTTGTCCTTGGCGGCCTGCTCGCTGAGACCACGCTTGGTGTAGTACTCGACAAGCTGCTTGGCAACACCGACACCGGCAGAGCCAGCTCCCATGAAGACCAGGCGCTGCTCCTCAAGAGGGACACCAGAGAGCTCGACGGCGTTGATGTAACCGGCCAGGACGACGGCACCAGTTCCCTGGATGTCGTCGTTGAAGCAGCGGTACTTGTTGCGGTAGCGGTCAAGGTAGTTGAAGGCCTTCTCGGACTCAAAGTCCTCGAACTGGACGGTCATGTTGGGGTAGACCTCGGCAACAGCCTCCATGAACTCGTCCATGAAGGCCTGCTGCTCGGCAACAGAGACACGCTTAGAGCGGATGCCAAGGTAGAAGGGGTCCTTAAGGTTGTTCTCGTTGTTGGTTCCGGTGTCAAGGACAATGGGGAGGGTGTTCTCGGGGTGGATACCGGCGGCACCGGTGTAGAGGGCGAGCTTTCCGATCTTGAAGGCTGTTAGCTGCTTGTCACTTGGCTCAACGGTTGGCTGTAACTTACAGAAATACCAACACCGTTGACACCCAAGTCACCAAGACCCAGGATACGAGAGCCGTCAGTGACGACGCAAATCTCGGGGTTGGGGTAGGGCCAGTTACGGAGCATGGTGCGGATGGACTTGCGCTGCTTGATGGAGATGTACAGAGCCTCGGGGCGGGTGTAGAGGGTAGAGTACTGCAGGCAGACATCGCCAATGGTGGGGGTGTAGACCAAGGGCATGAGGTCGCGGATGTTGTCCATGAGCAGGCGGTAGAAGAGGTCAAAGTTCTGGGCCTTGAGCGATGACAGGTAAAGGTACTTGTCAACAGGCGTAGAGCGAGTGTTGATCATCTTCATCGCACGCGCACATTGCGTCTGGAGGCTCTCCATGGTGTGGGGGATGAGACCGGTGAGGTTCTTGTTGATGCGCTCCTCGGGAGTGAAAGCGAGTCCTGATTCGACCATGGCGGTTAGCTTGGAGGAGTTGTGGATAGAGGACGAAGATATCCTGGGGTTGAGCAGAGGACGGCGGGGTTTAAGATATTGGAGAGAGGGGATGGGGAGACGACAAGAGCGTCCTGAAAGTGAGGAAGCCATGCGGGGGAGCGATTGCGAGGGTGCGAATGGCAAGAGGAAGAGGGGCAGAAGGTGGGAAGGGTAAATGAAGGGAGCAGCTATATAGAGCAGCAGTGCAGAGTGAAGGGATACGGCATGTTGGGGAAGCCAGTGCGGTGCAGTGAGGTGCAGGTGCGCGGATGCAGGAGGTTCAGTGCGGGCAGTGGTATGTTGAAGCTCCCGTGCATGACGGTGTAAGTGGAGGTGTGGCGCGAGGGAAGGAAGTGATTGCCCATTGCCCTAGGGTATAGGGTATGGATGAATCGTGTGCTGTTTTTTCTTTTTTTCTGTTCTTCTCCGAGTCCAACTCACCTTTGTTCCAGAGAGGCTCCTTGAGAACCTGGTAGCCAACAGCCTGAGATCTGGGGAG